TTTTAAAATAGGTTACTTATACATTAAACACAAAATTCAAATATTTTCTCTTTAGACATATTTTTTGGAAATTTCAAAATTCGACACCTACTTACCTAAATAAAACTGGAAATTAAAGTTTTGCAAAGTTTGTTCATTTTCAGAAAAAAATAATTACTAAATAGAAAATATATTAAAATAGCACTGTGTATATTAAAATAGAGCGAAAAGAAGGGGTTCTTGGATAACTTCGTGGTTTGTGGATCGATTTCATGAATTATATATTTTACAATTTTAACTTTACTAGTGCTTCAATAAATCTAAATACTTAATATTAAAACGAATTATTATGAACACAAAATATATGTAGCACGTAGACATGGCTGGCTGCACGTCAGATTACAATATAGGTATATATGTTGCCAAATTTTTGCAATGGACTTTGACCTCCACCCTCAATATATTAAGGTTTGAAATCGAGTGGGGAAATTAGATAGTTTTGTATAGTCTGACGTGCAGTTGCCTGTACAACTTTGATGAACCCGAAACGTCTCTATAGAGTGACAGTATCATTGTATTTCAATAATAGAGTTGAAGATGTCCTAAATAATCGACGACATAGTCTGCTTATATAGAATTTGTCCTTTGCAAAGCCGGGGTGGGTCGCTGGTCTATAAAAACTAGACATATTGCAGTCTATTCAGTGATGGTCTCGGTCAGAGTCACCGTAAAGATATCGACTAGAGGCCGTGCCGTGCCGTCTGAGAGGTCCCCCCTCTCAAGGAGACGCTAAATTCCGTTCATGCGAACCCCTCCCCTCCAAACACCCCAGCTACACAGGAAGCTGTCTGCAGCACCCACACTCCCACGTCTCTTCATAGATTTTTACTAAAAGTACCTCATAAACTATATCTATTCTGTATTCTGAGGATACAGGTCTGTAAGGTAATTGAAATTACTTCTTGCAGATTCATTCTTTTATTTGTAAGAGGTAATTTCAATTACTTCTTGCAAATAAACGGTTTAAGGCACTATTAACCTACGCAACGGAAATAATAAAAATGTATCACCAAAGTGTTAACAGAGCTTTTGAAATTCCAACTAAAATTATATCACATTTAAATAAATTAAAGAAAGTAACGCAGAAATACGTATATCGTATCAAGAATCTATGAACTTCGTTAATTTATTAGACTCTATATACCTACACTTGCTCTACTACTTAATCTGGAACATATTTTCTAATAAAGTGGGAACGGAAATACTTCGCGAATAATAATAAAAGTTTCCAAAAAGATCGAACAAGGTTTAATACCTGTCGTCTGGCTGGCAAGCAAAAAAATTACCAAACCGCTTTTGAACGTTAGCACCTGCCTGCGAATATGGGTGCCGTAATGCCGTTCCCTTTATGGAACGTATTGTGTTATAATAATCTTTAACGTAATCATCAAGCATGATAACTACTGCACGTGTAAAGCTTCAAAGATTCTTTGTTCTGATGCTTGCTAGTATGATAGTGTTTTATAGCAGAGTTACGGACAGTGAAACATAATCCCTCTTAATTAAAAGCCTAAGAACACATATAAAAATCTTAATTCGATGGAGTGATGAAATACAAATACTTCAAATATTGTTCGATTGGTTATATAATTAAATTAGATAATTTCCGTGGGTAGACCACCTACAATATTGTCCTCTAGGTGTTATTCTACAAAGTCAGAAAAATATATTTCGTATATTTCCTAAATCGTATGTTTTGATACACGTGACGGAATATAGGGCAGTTTTACTAGAACAAATCACCCTCCTTGCGCGCAATAGGTGAATGGGGAAAGCCAGGAGTTGGAGGGTTGCGTAGCCCTCTTTGGCCTAAAATTAATGAACCAGAGACCGTTGTTCACTGAATTTTCGGTCGTATGCGTAAGAGCATTGAGTTGAAATAATTAAACGTATGCTATCACTAGACTGGCCTTAACAGCGCTCAAGAATACGATACGAATTCGTCATACCTGTGAATGAAACAGAAATTCCTAATTATTGTACAACTTCTCAATATCAGTCCTCGGCTACTAAGAGACAAAGTATTAAAAAAGAACAGTTAAGAGAATTACTTAGTCTAATTTTAGAGGTAAAATTTTATTCAATTTATTTGTCGAGAAAAAATCGGTTATTTATTTTTCACAATTAAATAGATTATTTGCTATTTTAGTGATTTCGTTTATTTTTCCTACAGAGTGGCGAAGCTAAAACTTGTTGCTTAAAAATGAAAAACATGAGTCGTGTTACCCCACGAAATTCAACGAAGCGTTCACGAAAAAGGTCGATTTCCGGTTAAAACAAGAGGAAAAACAAGCCACTTAACTATACTAATGCACACATTATGTCTGATTAATTCTAAATTTGAGGCAATGAGTGGAAAGAGACTAAAATCCTTCGTGGTATGCATTCGACGGAAACATTTATCAAGTCGTGATCGTCGCAAGTTAGTTGTATAACCTATAGCTTATTCAACTTTCATATGATAAAAGGGATTTTTATAAAATATTACAATAGTACCTAAATTTATATTCCAAATTAAAAAATTAGGAGTTAAATTATTCACATTTAGTCATCAAATATCAGCAGTATCATACCTTCATGTTTAAGCTACGATTGTCCCATTGTATAAGTTATATATCTTTGTACCAAAAATATTTTATAGAATATAAACAATACATCGTTCAACTATCAATAGCAGATTTGTGTAAACATACTTAAAACTATTTACCAAGATTAATATGCAAGGTCAGGCCAGTGGCATCACGTAATAGAATCTAAGCGTACACCTCGTATAGATAAGGCTAGACTTATGGACCAAACGACCTAGAGTTCATTATGTAGATGCGAAAGCTGCCTGCCCGCTCTGGGCACTTTTGCTCTTGCGAGAATATAAAACCTCTTTTAATAGGACTTTGGCAGAACTAGTGATGGTTCATTCCCTCTTTCATTGGTTTTATTGACGGTGGCTTTTAGCTTTGAAAAGAGGAAAAATAATGTTTATTTTTTTAATAATGGTTTCTCGATAAACGTGATCAATAGTCAATACCTATCACAATTTAGAATAGAGGCCAATGCCCAGTGCACATCACGTTAATGCGGATGGCACGAACTAAGAAATAAAATATCTTCTATTTCTATGAAACTTCCCAGGTTACAATGAACTTTTTAGTGATCTTTTTATAATCCTTAAGTTGATTATAATTCTTTCTCGATGCTCACGATTTTAAATTGCTTTTTATTACATTCGTTTAGTCTCATTAACTCTACTTTTTGCGTATTCGGGAGAATCTTTCAAAATATCAGTATATCTTGGAATATAATTTTCAAGGTTTTATAATTTAAGTTCATTTTTATACAGTAAATAAGGCAGATCGATAAATTGCGAAATGTAATCGGCCGTGGTGGTCCAATATCCGCCACCCACCGGCGTTTCATTTGATTTAACAACTTAAGTAACGAATGTTTTAAAGATGATGAATAAGATGTTTATGTATTATTAATTATCAGAAACAATATCTAGTCCACCTTCAATTGTTTTGCTGTTTATCACCATTTATATCGTTCATTATGTCTGATTGTTCGTATCAGTGATTCGCCGTATTGAACATGCTGCGAATTATCAAGTGCAACGAGATTTTATCGCCTATTTGGGATCTCCAAGGTTATCTGTAGCAACAAACCGCTAACCGGTTATGCTAGTTTGCATTTTTGTATATAAACAAGATCTACAATTTCTAATAAAACAAATATTAAAATTGATGTTATGAGCAGTCTCACATTCGCGTAGGACAACATCGTTCGTTATCGATCGTGGTCGTGCGTCGGACTAGTCAGCGTATTTTGCAGAAAAAGCGTTTTTTTTTTAAATAAAAGTAAACGGTGAACAATATTATATTCTCTTCAATTTACCTGTAAAGAGTGAAGCGGTGGCTCAGCTTAGTGCCCACTAACACATAGAACACAACACACGCGACGGCGAGCGGTAACAACCGTCTCGCCCGGAATACAGACGCGAAGTGAGTAATATTAATACCTACTATCATATGAACGGCCAATGACACCCGAGTGACTAACAAGGATAGCTAGATTATCTATTCTCCTTACTCGCCGGTAACAAGGAGCGCTTGACCGAGATGCTCCGATTTTTGTCGAACAGCAGGACCTATGAAATGCGCGCGCATTTTATTCGGCACTCACATACGCTGGCTGGGCGGCGGCGGCTGACGCCGTTAGTACAGCGACGCATTCGCTCGCGAATACGAAACATCTGCGAAAGCTAACAGGGTTGTCACCGTTTGAAAGAAACAAAATTCGTGATATTCGGATAGTCATCAGAAATCGGGACGAATGGTAAAAATGCGAAATATGTGCGTCTGTGTAGAGACCGTACTAATAAGGACGCAGCTATTTCTTTGCGCTAATAATAAAGCGAGACATAACATAGCTTATGCGAAATATTGCCATACAACTGACAAGATTTCGCAAATGTTTCGCCTTCGCAAGCGATTGCGTCGGTGTATTAACGGCGTAAGGGTGGCGGAGTCCTAGCGCTACTCTATTAAGCCTTATTTGATAGCATTTCGTTCCACACGCTTGCCGGTATTGTAAACGTATGAATATGGTACAGCCCAGTTTTCTTAGGTCCTATATTGGAATCTCTTTGGTTTTCACACTCAATAGATGGCGTTAGAGTTTTAATTTTTTTAGTTTAATGAGGGTGTCTATTTTATTTTTTTATCATATATTTCTCTTTTCACATCTTTGTAATTAGTACATTTAAAAACGAAATATCCACATAAGTCCGACCATATTTTAATTTAGGGTTGAAGTATTTCGATATCAGATCTCTTTTTTATTTCTTTCAGTAAATAAAGAAAATACTTTATTTTTTTAATAAATTGTTTTTGGCGATTTTTGTATAACATTTTGGTGAAATTAGTACAATCAGTTTAAGGATGTTCAAAATAATCACAAGACTATTATGATTAAATTTTTATTAGTTATAGAAAAAAATATGTAGTTAAATAGGTATAACATGTTTATAAACTCTATGGCAGTATTTTTAATAGATAAGTAAAAAAATAATGAATACCTTCAGAAAGAACATTAAAAACCTGTTCTGTTGTATTACATAAAACATAAAGCACCTAACATAGAACACTTAAATTCTAATTGAATGAATTAAATTAAAAATTATAATATAACCTGTGTCCTAATCTAACAATATGAAGTTGTTTCGTAAAAACATATATTTTGACATATTTAATATTTGTTACTATTTTAAACTTATTCACGTTCGCAATAATAAAATTTTATTTTTTCTTCAGATTTCATATGCGTGTTAAAAAAAACATATATACGTATACGATTAGGCTCTGGTGACATAGTTATTGAATTTTTATCAAGAGATAGGTATGATTTTTTACTGTATGATAAATACAGATCACAAACTACATAATATTTAATACAATACAAACGATAAATACGTGTATTAAACGAAAATAATATGTCAATGTTGAGTTAGGAACAAAGTTAAAAAAATATGGCACAAATATAAAGTTTGTTCTTTTTAATTTTATAAGACTGTTAATACATCTATTATAGCCACTGTAATTATTTTTAATTTATATAATATAATCTATAAAATTCACTTTCTAACAAATTTAAGTGTGTAGGTTATAACAAGATAGTCCCATATCTAAATTTTCAAGCACATCTTGTCAATATCTTTAAATACAACAACTAGGCTGGGACACTATTATCTAGTAAAGTAAGACAAATAGAAAAATTACAAATATAGTTTTTTTTTAAATATTTTAATGAAAAAAAATAGTTCCCTGACTTATCTACCATACAACGACGTGCTTATGAAATTAATAATTTCCCTAATAATTTGCTTATGAAATTATTTTACATATCATTATTGCACCTGGGAAACGTAATACCCAAACAAATTTTTTTGGGAGTGAAAAAATACATTTATTTTGTTAACGCGACATTTCCTAATATTTGATTAGAATCACATCTGAATTCTTTCTGTGTTTTGAAGAAAGTTCTTTATTAACCATATTATATTATTAATTTAGCAACCCTCGAAATTGTCTCTCGGGGCAAATGCTCGGTTTACCCCTAAATCCGGAACTGTTTGAATGTAATGCGCAATAGACAAGAGTGTTATTTAAATCTTTCGATTAAGGCCTCTACAGACACGTATCTTGTGCTACATATATTTAAAATATTTAAAACAGTATAGGTGCTCTCTCTTGAAATAAAGGTTATCAAAATTATAATATTAATCATACTAGTTACAAATAAGACATCAAACTCTGCAAATACAGGGTCGATGAGATAATAGCTGCACAAAGTAAAAACTATTTAGAGTGTCTAAATAAATGAGAGAAAATTAGAGACCGTGTACATTACAAACTTTTTAGTTAAACAATACTTTCCTTGAGTTAACTTAAATCGGCTTAATGTCTTAAGATTATTTTTTAAACAATCTGTCAATAGTTTGCAAATTACTTAGTTTAAAGGAACCGTCTATATGCCTATTATGGGCGATCAAATTTAATGAAGGTTGATTTAAAATCCTATTAGAGAGTTCACTCTATAATACCTTCATGTTAATCAAAGGCCAATCAAAATGTATTCTAACAAAAATATTGTAATGCGTATAGAGATTGTAACGCTAAGGATCCTCTAAAGCAACTAGGTGCATGTGTAGTAGTAGTTAAATAAATAACTAAAAGTACTTAAAATAAATACAATAATTCAAATAAACTCATACACTCGGTACATTTCTTCAAAACAATTATATGCACTCATTACATACGGATCAATATGATTACTGGTTTGTCCGTACAATCGCGATATGAAAAAGCTGGTGTCGATAAGGTTACTTTTTGCGTGAAGAATGAATACGTTGAAGAATGTATTACATAAAATTATGTTTAGTATTTTTATTAGTTTCATTCATAGTTCTAATAAATTATGGATATTTGATGAGATTCGGAAATAAAATAATTCAGATATTAACGGACCTTTGCAAACCACGATTGTACATATACTTAGAATTTATTAAATATTCCATTTGCACACTTTGAATATAGTATTCTAAGTTAATATTTGTATAAACATATAATACTATAGTAATGTTAAAACAAGATTATGTAAATACATACATATGAATATATAATACTCTCATCCTAAAGAAAATCTCAGGTAATGATTAAGAAATATTTCAGAATTTAATATAATAAAGTACCATTATTATATGAATGCAATAGCGTAATAGACATGTATAATTATTAGAATTTAAACGAATAGTAAATTTGTCTAGTCTCTGGCTACATGATGTTATAAGTTTCCTGTGATAATAATACAAATATAACAAAAAGTATTTAACTACAAGTACTAAAATAGACATACAGATAATTTCTAGTATTATTCCAACAACAGGATGATTTTATTTACTGCTAATTTCTACACCAATTATTTCTCTAATAATAAAATGACATATCTAACTACACTCAGTATTTATAATTGTAATGCAATGCAATTGTAATAAAGTTTGCTTTTCACTATTTTAAAGCAATATTTTCAAAATAAATTGGTACATATGAAAATAATTTCAACTGGCAAGCGTAATAAGCAGAAAAATATTATTACTATTCTAGTAATATCATGTTTACAACATCGAGGTACTTATCAATATTTATTAATCAACTCATAAATAGAGTGAAATTTCAACTGTGACTATATAATAAATTACTTATCGATATAACACGAAGAAGAGATTAGTGAAAAATGGAACTGCAACTATTTACTTATGAAAATCTGTTCAATACTAACTCCACATTCAATACTTTTAATATACCTACATTATATATTAAATAGCAAATTTAATTTGATAATAACTGTCATAAAAAATTTTGAAATACGCATTTTCAAAATACTTACTTTTCTTTAACTTAAAACTGTTTTAAAGATGATCGAACATCATAAGAAGTAGAATATATAAGTGGATATAGTTTGAAAACCTTGACCTTTCTTAACAAGTCTGATTCAAAATCGGTAGAGAAATTTCGCGATATAAAAAAAAAATATGAAGATATCGTTTAAATAAGTGTAGGTACATGACATTAATCCTCTCAATATCATTATATGTTTAAAGCCATTGCTTTTATTTTAACCAATAGTCAAATAAAAGACTACAACAATGTATTGTAACAATTTGGTTATAAATAAATTGAAAAGAAATTGTTGATAGTTGTTATAATGTTACCAAAGTAACTAACCAGTCATGTACCGTTGATGTTTAAAGCTGCTTTTAATGTTTAGGCAGTCTCATGAGGAGCGGGCATTTTCTCCCAAGACGGTTCCACGCCCCAGATTTCGCGGGCGTACTCAGCGATAGTACGATCCGAAGAGAATTTTCCAGAAGAAGCGATATTTTCAATCACCATTTCGGCCCATTTCGCTTGATCCTAGAAAAAGAGAGCTTTATTTGCGGATATGAAAATTACACTTGAAAACATTTGGTTGTTATGTCAAATTTAGTGAACTATTTGTATTATTGTCATTAACACACACACACATGAATGGACACTGACTATACACAAAACTAAAAAGGAAACTTATTTTATATTTTCGGGAAATAGTGTCAGGTTTATTGGATATTTTTATAAAAACCTCTGTATAAATGTTACCTAACAGACAGTAATCACTGGTTCAAATTTCTTCGATAATAAAAAAACAAACATGAAATACTCGACGAAACAAGTTCAAGAGCAATATATAAGCGGGCCATTAGACGATCAGTCCGCATCGTGATTTGTGATCAGATCAAAGTAAGGGATTGATGACAAAAATGAAATTATCTGGATAATATGTTACCCATTTCAATCTGGAATCAATCAACTTATCTGACCAATCTGACATTAATCAACTTATTACATGATCAATCTGATCAAGATCAAAGATTGATTTGACACTAAATTGATAGTCTAATGACCGCATGACAGGAAGAGTTTAAAAACCTCAAAATAATGGAATTTATAAAGTACATAAGTATTACATATGAATCGATCCAGCGGGCTCCTTGCCGGATCCCGACCGGAGGGTCCGAGGATACTCGCAGCGGGTTTTACCAGATAGGCCTAGCTTTATCTTTTCGGACGGGTGTGGGTGGTTTAAGGCAAAAGGTTGCATTTTCCCTGTGTTTAAAAACAGTATTACGTATGAAGAAATCACCTGGTAAAGGTCGGAGACTTTCTGCTGGGCCTCGATGTAAGCGTCGTAGTCGGCGAGATGCATGAACCGATCGTGGTGTAGGAGGACGTCAGCCAGATGCGCGAAACGGCCCGGCTCGCCCGGCGAGAAGAAACCGCTGCGTATCTGCTCCACGCACTGACGCAACTCCGGATTGCGTTCGTAGTACTCGTACGCGTTATAACTATAGTGGAATACAAAACTGGGCTAGTATAGAGTCTTGGACTGTAGACCGTTTCAAATAGCATGGATACGGTGACGGTTGTAAACAAACACCCTCTAAAGTTTAAAACATCAATACTTGTTACGAAAATTGGAACATTTTTTTATTTTTTTTAATAGCGACTGAATCAATAAAATCGTTTTAATCGAAATATGCATTCGGTAATCATTTGTCAATTTTTTAATTATTGTTGTCGTAATCACTTAAAAACTTAACTTTAATAAAGTTTTATATCTTTTTGAATCTTGTTTTATACATTGATCTGAAAATCGATTCTATTAGAAATGAAATCAAAATATCGATAAACCTAAACGTCACAGTAGCCATGCTATGTGAAAAGAAAGGTTTGATGCAACCATCTAAGGTAGCAAATCAAGAGACCGAGACAAATGAATAAGTTCTTTCTGAGCAAGCTCATCCGTAGAACTTAAACATGTCCTTGGGCTGGATTGAGGTCAAGAGTGACCCCATTACAAATAAGAAAGACACTTTTCAAAAAAGCCCAAGGCCTCATCGAGTCGCGAATCTGATATTACCGGTTTATTGTCACTTTCGTTTGTAATCAGCGGCGTGACGTATGATTATGGCAACTTCATCAGATGTGTCCTCCCCAAAAATAAGTATCTGAAGTGTCTTGTCAGAGAAACGTGTTCTATTCTATACTAAAAATATTCTGTAGCTCAATCCAACGATACATTGAATTCACAGACCTTGTTAACTGAATAAGTTTGAGTAAAATTTTATGTACATTATTTTACATAATATGCATCAAATTATATTAAAAATTCTTAGTCCATACAGACCAATTAGATTAATTTATATTCAACTATTATTTACAGCATCAAATATTCAGAAACTATCGGTCAGTTGCACAAACATCCATTAATATTTAATGACGATTTTAAGCTCTATTGAATATCAATATGTATCTGTAATGTAGCTTTAAACTAATGACAATTTTAATGAACTTTAGTGCAACTGACTGTATGTTACATAAAAAATATTGGTAGAATAAAACATATCAAAGGTTTGATTCCTTAAGAGATACTCACCCACGACGCTTAAGTTCTTCTACATCATCAACCCTCATACCGAAGATAAACATGTTGTTCTCGCCAGCTTCTTCAGCCATTTCCACGTTAGCACCGTCCATTGTACCTACTGTCAGGGCTCCGTTCAACATGAATTTCATGTTTCCGGTACCAGAAGCTTCAGTACCAGCAGTTGAAATCTATAATATAACGAATATTCATATAAAGTCTCACTCAACGAAGTGTCAATAATAATCTTAATACATTTTAAGAAATACAAATTATACCTGCTCACTCAAATCAGCAGCCGGCATAATTCGTTCTGCCAAAGTTACGCGATAGTTCTCCAAGAATATCAGCTTCAATTTATCGCCAACGTCAGGATCATTATTAATCTAGAACGAGGACAAACATAAAATATTATGTATCACCATAATTCTTAAGTGACTTACATTAAAAGTTCGTTACAATCATACTTACAGTGTTGCCGACAGCACAAGCCAAAGCAATTATTTGCTTAGCTATGTAGTATCCCGGAGCAGCTTTTCCACCAATCATGACCGTTCTAGGAGTGTTCACGGCTGTAGGATCCCGTTTAATCCTGTTGTATAAAGTCATCACATGTAGAATATTCAGCAATTGGCGTTTGTATTCGTGAATACGCTTTACTTGAACGTCAAACATCGATGCTGGGTTAATTTTAACTCCAGTGTCGCGCTCGATGAGAGAAGCCAAACGTAACTTATTCTCTTGTTTGACCTTCATCACGGCGCGTTGGAAGGCAGGGTCTTTAGCCCAGCGTTTTAAACCTTGCAGTTTTTCTAAATGCACAGTCCATTCTTCGCCGATTTTGTCACAAATCAGGTCTGACAAACCGGGATTGCAAAGCAATAGCCAACGGCGCGGTGTTATACCATTAGTTTTGTTTTGGAATTTCTCAGGCCACATCTCGAAAAAGTCACGGAAGACGGTAGCTTTAAGTATATCTGAGTGGATAGCTGCTACACCGTTAACAGCGTGAGCACCAACAACGCACAGATGGGCCATGTTCACGCGCTTCTCACCCTCTTCTTCGATCAGTGACATACGTCGCTGGCGATCCATATCACCAGGCCAACGCTTTTCTACCTCTTGAAGGTGCAAGAAATTGATATGGTAAATTAACTGCATGTGTCTCGGCAGTACATTTTCCAACATGGAACAAGGCCACCTCTCCAGAGCTTCAGGTAAAACTGTATGATTAGTGTAAGCGCAACACTTGATAACCAACTGCCATGCTTCTTCATATGGCACGTTCTCGACGTCGATAAGAATTCTCAACAACTCGGGAATGGCGAGAGCAGGATGTGTGTCATTTAGCTGAATAGCGACTTTCTCGGGGAGACTTTCGAAAGTGGTTCTTACTGCTTCCCGACTTCCGAATTTAGACGATTTGTATCTTCTGACGATATCTTGGAGTGTAGCAGCGCACATGAAGTACTCCTGGCGAAGACGCAGCTCCTTACCCTCAAAGAAATTATCGTTAGGATAAAGTACTCTTGAAATATTTTCAGCGACATTACGATCGAGGACAGCTTGAATGTAATCACCGGAGTTGACTATAAAAAAATATTAAATAAAAATTATTTGGTATATTTGTAAATATTAGATGCCACTTATAGAAAGTTACTTACAGAATCTAAGGTTGAAATCAATAGGACTCTTCGCAGACCACAGACGTAACGTATTGACTACATTGTTGTTATATCCAGGAATAGGATTGTCGTACGGCATAGCAAATACCACCTAGTGACAAAAATATTTTTGTTACACCTTTTTGAGGATCTATTAAAAATTCGATGAACCCCAGTTTCAAATTGGTCGACCAGCCCGCGTGGCACAATGAACTCTCGGAGACTAGAGAAATGGGCGAAAATGGGACCGATAGTGAGATATTTTATGGGTATTTCTAATCTCTCGACCCTCTTTTCTGGAGTTTCTCGAGCGTTTTACGAGTTCATCGAATTTATCATGCTACGCGTGCTGCTGTAATCAAAGACTATACTACTTAGTACAAGGTAAGAAAACGTAAACATGTTAAGAGTATAGGAAATAAAGTCGTGAAAATGCATCATGAATAATTTATTAGTTACTATTACAATAATACCTACGTCCTACGTTATCTCAATCACTAATTTGCACGTCTGTCCCAGTGTTATTTCATGAAAAACATGCTTAAGAGTCATGGATAGTGATATCTGTAACTAATCAATATATTTCGACGGGTCTTATTTTATTAATGTAGGTATTTGTTATCTGTATCTACTATGAAAAATACAAACTGTTTCTATTACATATATTGCATACATGTCCTACAAACCGAAGTAAATTTGTCGTTGACTTAAAAATTCACCATTAACAAATGCAATGGTTTATCAATTAAAACCTTTGGTCATTGATATCTGCAAGACATTTGTGTATGAATAAGTTCGTTGACTTGAGTTTACTCTCACTTATCTTCGAACAACTGATAATACGAAAACGTAGTCTCGTAATATAACATGATCATTGTAATTAAATATACATTATTATGTGAACTCGAACTAAAGAGTTTGATGACGCATTATCTAGCATGCTCTGTTTACTGTTTTGGTCGGACGCCGGACGAGTGACCAGTGACTTTGGAACGCATGTTAAGCTGTTGGTGCCAACAGCACATGTAGTCGATAATACACATACAATGACATGTCCATATAGTCACGGCCTATTCAAGAAATTGGTAGGCTAATCCAAATTAACGAACTTTTATACTGAATTCATAAATTCTTAATATAATGGTTAATTCCTTTTTGCTCTATTTCTACCTCGCTATAAGTATAGTTGTATCCATAAGAAAATCTTATGTTCTATCAAACAGTAGGTAAGACAGGATATGAATGTATAAACTGATGATAGTTATGAGGATTATATAGATTCATCGATCTTATTGTCTGTACACTAAGATGTTTTAAATTACATTATCATCATCAGCCCTTTTACGTCCCCACTGCAGGGGCTCAGGCTTTCCTTATGGATGGTAAAGGACGATGGGCCATGACCCTCCACGCTGGCCCAATGCGTATTGGCGGGGAATTAACGACTACAAATGCAGCCGGGACCAACGGCTTAACGTGTCTTCCGAAGCACGAAGTAGCTCGAGATAATATTTTTTTGGTCACCCATCCCGTGACTGACCCTTGCGAAAGTTGCTTAACGACAACGATTGCGGGCGGCGGCGCTTATCCACTACGCCACCAGGCTACTTTAAACTACATACCTACTACTACATAGCGGATTTTAATGCGGTTTCCTCATAGCAATCGGTACGCCACACTACTAGTCTTGGGACACGACTAGTGTGTCGTAAAGACGAGAGTGTGATGATAGCTAAGATGTTTACAATTATCATCTATATTTTTATAATACTAGAAAAAAATGGCATCGTTCGATAGTTTTCTAGAATATAGCTATAATAGCGTGATTACTGTAATTAGTGACTAAATTACAGATGGTTAAGTGGGAACTGCCATTTATATTTATTATCTACATACACATATGTGTAGATTAATAAGAATGGAATCGGTGACAACTGGCCACAGCAAGATTGAATTGATGACCGTGAACACATATTGACCGTATTATTTTAGCAATAGTTAGACTATCATTATGCTGTTACCAATAAATTATTCCTTCGGGCCATATACAATAGAGCTCTACATACATATATGTTCATTACTTGGTTAGCAATTAGGTATTTAATAATTTATATTTAGATAAGTATACTATATCTACTTTCTTGTATTTTTTATTTTTTTATTTATTTAAGTTAGGACACAAAACAGTTCACAACCAAATTGAATTTACAGCAATTCAAATATTTTATAAACTAGATTGTAAACCAAATCTTTGTGGCTTTATCATGACAATTATAAAGGTTGCATAATAGTATATTATATTTTTCATACATAAAATAAAGAATAAAATTAGATTATATTAAAATCAATTACAATAAATTTACAAATTAATCCCAAAATTATATTTTATCAGTGACTATAACATCGAAATTAATAAAATAACCAATAATTACACATTCAACATGATTCAAAAAGCACATCGGTAATACATCGCTTAAACAGACCAAGGCGATCGTTCATAATGTCCAAGCTTTCCTGATATCGTATCTACATTAATAACGATTTGATATTATTGAGAATTGGCAACTAAACGCTATCGTCGTAGCATCGCCAGTCTCATACGCGTACCCACGATGGCTCAACCCATACTCCAACTTGAAGCTATTTACATGTGATGTAAAAAAATTAAATACTATTTAATTGAATAAAAAAAAAACATAATTTTAGCTTGTTGTTGCCAGAATATGTTGGAAATTATTATTGAAATAAGTTTATAAATTGGAATTCATATTATTCACTGAGTTTCTTTGCTTCAGCTTTTAATCATTAATCGGTTAATTTAAGACAATAAACTTACTTGAGTGTCGACCCATTTCTTCCCCTGTGGTGTGTCAACTACGCGACCGTAGAAGTTGACGGGAAGCATAAACTCTGGGCGCGCCTTCTCCCACGGGTTGCCATAACGCAACCAGTCGTCAGGCTCCTCCTGTTGTTCACCATTCTCTATCTTCTGTGCGAAGATACCATACTCGTACCTTATACCTGTATTAATTACATTTAAAATATAGGCAATTGCGTCAAGGTACAGTACCAATTCACACTGAGATGACAGTCAAATAAATTTATCAAATGAATTTAAAAGAAACAGCATAGGTAAACGCAAATCAATCGAAAGAAAGGAGTTTTATAATTCTTTGTAGGTATGAAAACATATGAATCTATTAAAACTTTGATTAAACTACCGACATCAGTTCATGCAGATTTGTCAGAATTCTAATGTCGGCTAGATATGTGAAGAAAATTCGTTTCATTCGGCCCCTTTGGCTCGGATTAATCTGCTATTAGCCTAACACAGTATTAAGATTATTTTTCCCGAACACGAATCCAATTTGACCGTCACTCGTGTTTTCTTAGGTTGTAATAGAGCACGATTAACGCTTTTAGAAAACACGAGAAACAGATGTGGACTTTAAATATGCTCAACTATTTTGTGTACATAACGTTGTTAATAATGTGTTTATTACAAATGAAATTGCATATTTAGGCGAGCTTAGAATGGTGAAACTTCCACATATTGCAGGCGACTTGTTTTTGCTATTAAACTGTTTATTTTTGGCATTAATAATGCCGTAACGGATTGATTGCTCTAATAAGTCGTTGATTTGTCTTTTCAAACGAATATTATTTATTGGAGATCTATTTTTAAAATGAACATGTCTGTACCTATTTAACGTCATTTAGATGTGATAATTAATAATGCAACTCTAATACGAATCGTACAATAGTTTGAATAATATAACACGCATTTGTCTATTTTTTAATATCTATAGCAATATCGTTATTTGTGGTGGTAACATGCTTGGAGGTATCACGTTTAATAAAGACATGTATAATTGGAGCGTCGCCAACCGCGGCCGTGTTCTCAACTGATTCGATTACTTTATACCTATGCAGTAATGATAAATATTTTAGTTGTTTTGGCATTAATTATTATTAATTGACAGAACTTTAATTATAACCTTCATATATTCTATATCTATACAGCTTCTCAAATACAGATTACTAAGAAAAACTCCATTTTCTCTTTTTTATTAGGACTAACAGGTGATAATTTTGAGACATAAAATTTTTAAATGAAAACATGATTAACAATTTTAAATTCAAATTTAAACAATTGAAGTAGTTTTGTAAGAACAATTCGAAGTTTTATTAGGTCATGTAAAAAAAGATAAAAGATAAAAAAAAACAGAAAGAGTTAAACCCACTTCCATATTACATTTAAGTAGAGTCAAGAGCATGTCAGGTTATAAAAAACTGTCAAATTTCTCGATTTGATTTTAAATGTTCATACATTGAAGGTTTAGTTCAAAAAACCATTGCCAAAATTGACATATTATGGTAACCTGACAAACAGCCATGTGTATCCTTATTATTTATTTTTTGAAAATTTTTAAACTGAGAATAATTGTCTCCAGTACCAGGTAAATGTAACATAAAAAAAAAACTTATTTTTTATAGTGAAATTTTCTATCAATGTAAGTCAAAATTTCTGCTTGATCAAACTAATATCTTCCAAGACAACAATATTCTTTGTACCACATATAAATATAGGTCATTGTGTTTTGAAATATCTGACCTAGATTGGATTATTTTTACCTCTGTGCTTATTAAAACAATCATTAAAATTAACAAGAAAAAAGTAATGATGGAGCACAAACCATAACCATAAGCAGCTAACCCCAGGGTTGCCATGGAATCAAGAAAACATGCAGCAAGGCGACCAAGGCCACCATTTCCAAGGCCTGCATCTTCTTCGAGTTCCTCTAATTCCTCAATGTCAAGGCCAAGTTGGTACAAAGCTTCATCAACTGTGCCTTGAATACCAAGGTTGATCATGGTATTTTGTAGGGAGCGACCCATGTAATATTCCAGTGACAGATAATAAACGCGCTGTTAAAAATATCTTATGTTAAATACAAAAACTGACTGAAATACTAACATAAATTTAATAAATTAAATTCAATTAATGTAATATTCAAATAGATCATATAATCAATGCTACAATAATGTAAGGCAAACTAAAAACTTACATTTGAAAAATTCTTAGTGTAAAATTATTAAATTACAAAAATATTTAAATTATTTTAGATAAAACTATAAAAATCAAATTAAAGAAATCAATTATTATATTAGATCTCAATTAAACTTAAAAAAATGTACAAAGTAGATTTGAAAAAATTGTATTCTTAAGTCAATTTCATAAATTTCAAATCTTAATAAATAGTTGAATAAAAAAATAATTATCAATCGTATTTTTACTATTCAATTACATACCTTGGGATCTTTGTCATAGTAGTACTGTTGAGTACGGATCCAACGAGAAACGAGATGATCCCGGACCGTGTGTGCTAAAGCAAAGTAGTAGTCCCTTGGAGTCGCAACATTTCTATCTTTTACCAGGGTATAATGTACATGGCGATTAAATGCCTTCTTTACTTCTGCTACATTTTCGACAGCTACTATACCCCGAACGGAAATCTGCTTCCGCTTTTCACTATCGGTTTGTACGCTCATTTTTTATGATGACCTTCCTTTGCGACCCAAACCGTGCGATTCAAGACGACAACTTTGACTGAAGAAAGAAGAAATCAGTCTGCCGCGTATCGGTCACCTTGACAAGGTCAAAGGTGTATACAACAACGATGACAATTATATTCGTCGGCCACGATTGATATTTGCAAGTTAATAATTTTAAGCAATTACGGACAAATGAAACTAGTTCTTTTTGCTAGTAATTTACGGCCAAATTCTTTATTTTGTGGTGAAATTGGAATTAAAGATAATTTCAAACAGGAATGTCAACATAACGTCAGATTTGCGTCAGAATGACAGTGACAACCAGCTGATATGTGAACAGTGTTGCCAATCTTATTTATACATTGTTAACTTCTCAGAATAAGGTTTATTTATGAATTTATTTTAGCATAGCAAAATTGCTCGCATTTGACCATTTAACTGACAAACTTTTCGGAGAAAATGATTCAATACTTTTCGCGTTCAATCAATACGATAATTATCTTGGAACTTGGCGAAGTTTGGATGGTTGTTTGTTTCTTCTTCACGCAAATTGTATTGAAAGGATTTGATGAAATTTCATAACAGTTGCTAGTCATAATAGTCACAGTGAAGCTGCTGGAAGAAACCTAGACCTTTATAATTTTGATGCCTTCATTGTGTTATGCCAAATAAGTTTTGGATTATGGCGATTCTGTCATTAGAAGGAACCCATTTAATTATGTTGCCTACCTAATTTACTTTCAAAGAATGTTTTTTATTTATCTGATTAAGTTGTCCTTCACACTCCTGATCACGTTAAATGTTGAACCACGTATATCTACTAATTTATCTTAATTCTTACTAATTTATCATAGAGATTGTGAATGTATGTTTGGACGTCCGGGAACTATAAATGTCGCCACTACCTACTTAATAGATCATTTTACTATTAAGGTAAGATATTGTAAAGATTACAATACCTATTTAAAACATTAAGTAATGTGTTAATCTTTTGTTGTAAAAAACCCTTTTAGAATTACCTATCTCTAAAACGATTTCTTACAACTATAGTTCTGATGGTTGCAAAAAATGGGTAATAACAAAATAAAACTTTGAAAATTATTAACAAACAATTGATTTATTAAAGTTTGTTATATTTTATTTGGTACCAAACGGCGACACAGTATAGAAAAGTTATGCGACAGAGACACAATTCAGCCAATAATATCTCTCATATGAGTGTTCACGAAATAAAGAGGTCATAGAACTTAATTTAATTTACATATATGAGAAAAGTAAATATATATATAAAAAAAAAATATCTTTGCACTAACATTTAAACTCATGACAATAAATGCGATTTTATCAAGGTTATATTTACAGTAACATACAGACGAACTAATCAACAATGAGTTAATCGACATTTTAAACAATATCAAAACATTCTTGCATTTAACAAATAAAGAGTATTAAATTCATAAGAAATTGTTAGGCACATAGATTACATACTTTACATACAAATTAAATTTCTACATAATATCAGAATTCAAAACATAACTTTGTATTTAATGTATATGATTAATTTCATGTATATGATTTTTTACCACAAGTGCGTTTATTACATGTATAAAATTTTAATACATTAATCTATTCTATATTTTTTCACATAGTAAGTAAGATAACATATTCATAGTAGTATTTTTTTTAACAAATAACATATTATATTAATTTATTACTTTTTGATTACGATAAATAAACAGTCTTTTCAATTTAAATAAATATAATATGTTTATGACGTATAATTTATTTTAAGTAAAAAATACTTACTTGACACAGTAGTTAGACAAAGACCAAAGTGCAACCTATTTCGAACTTTAATAATAGGCATTAAGGCTTAAAATCGATAATAGTAATTTGGCCTTTTGTGTTAATCCGACGTGTTGTAGGTTATTATTATACATTCAAGAAAACAGTAAAATTATTAACTTTGGTATGGTATGCATTGCAAGATTCAGTAGGATTGGCGCTATAAACGAATACGAAAAAGATTTTTTTCCTAACATTTGAAATGCAATAGTATTTTTTAAAAAAAGGCACTTATATTACATAGTAGTAGTAGGGTTGCTAACCGTCCTTTTTTCTTAGGACATGTTCTCGTTTCTGTAGTGTCGTGGGATGTCATTCTCCCAGTCCTGACATTTTAAAGCGTCATGATAATGTATTTGAAAATTCACGCGCAGCTTTCGCAAGTTACGGACATCTTATGAGTGTTTTCAACGCGTAGCGGGACTGAGCTGCTTCTTGAAAAAAGGAGTTCTAATCTTTTACAAAATAAAGGATTATTTTTATTCATAATTAATTGAAATAAAGTAGATAAACTGAATAGATTCTATTATATAGCTCGTATTGAAAAATTTATAGATCCTGTTCGATTTACAAAAAAAACTATTTTTATTTCAATATTGTTTTACTTCGTCTTGTTTTGAAACACAATTGTCCTGGATTTTCCAACTTAAAATCCTAGTTTATAAAACTTGGTGTTAGTAACACTACATAATTCTCTAGAATTTTACATGTTAAAAAAAGCAAACATACTCTATAATACCGGAGATTTCGAGTTTATATGAACAATCGTGTACTTTACCTACCTCTTCTTTTTATCTTAAAATTAGGCTAGTAACCATCATTTCTTCATGAAGTACGTCCAAAAAATAGTTCTTACTTATTAAATAAATAATTATGTATGTACTTTATTGTCACTTCGTTCTACAGCGTTAGCATGTCTAACAAAAAATAATAGCTAAGACACGTTTCGTCATTGCCATAGCAAAATATTCGTAATATTGAAGATCTATAGAGTGCAAAGTTTGCTTGTTCAAGCGGTTTTTTCTTCCCGTATCGGCGAGTTAGAAGCAGGGCACAAGAATATGTCGTCTGGGTAGAAATCGCCTCTCACGCGTATAGCTTTAACACCAGCAGGAGCTGCCCTATATTCTAATTCACCGATGAGCACATCATTGGCGTACACGGACCACTCGTCCCCTCCACGTATTATTCTGAATGTGCACTGTGATAAAAGAAAATTGATTAAGTTAAATGTTGTTATATTCATAATTCTAGATTTTTTGACATTGCATATATATGACCAGTGACTACCGGAGCTGAAGTTCTGATTCATTTCTAAAAGTCAAGCCATGTCAGCAGAGCAATCGGGGTTGGTGTGTAAAATATTATACTAATCCTGATTTGTCTTAGCTGTGAGTAACAAGACACCCATAGTGGACGTAAATTTAGCATTTTCCGTTCGTTTGCGATAGCGTTGTTAACCAACTATTGCAAGGGCCAATCACAGGATGGGAGACCAAAAATTTATTATCACGGGATCCTCCGTGCTGCGGAAGGCGTTTTAAGCCATTGGTCCTGACGGCATCTGCAGTCGTTAACACCTACCAATCCGCATTGGGTCTGCGTGGTAGGTTATGGCGCATTCTTCCTAATCAATCTCATAAATAGGAACTGAGCTTCAGCAGTGGGTTCATTAATAGTGTAGCGATTTTTCAAGTATTGAAATATAATGTAAAAGATGTTCAGCCTTATTAACGTTGATTAAAATTAAGACACTGCTAAATAATTCATTAACAACAATCTTTACTTATAAACGTTCATTAAAGTTAAAACAAATATAACATATTTAATGAAAGAAATCAATTTATTCACAGAACGGAGCTCTACTTAAGTTGGTGTGTAGGTCTTGAAACAGGCTCCAAACAGAACGGACCTAACAGAGAGTATAATTAAATAAGTAGTTTCATTTATAAAAAATAAAATAATGAAACTCGTCCGGAAATGGATGTTGTGTTGGCTTAATAAAAAAGGCTAATTTGACTAGTATTGCTGCAAGGTAATTGCTACTCCTACAGGCATTATTGTTCGAGACGAGGTGGCGTGGAAACGTGTATCAGGAGCAGCTTGATTGAATATAAAAGTTTATACCAATAGGCTGGTACTGATTTATTTATTTTTGAATGGTACACAAACAAATTAATATTGATAGAGAAACTTATTAATTTATTAACTTTTGTTTATGGTAAATTTAAACAGATATGGTGCTCAGGTTGTACCATACTGTTATAAATTTTTAACTGATATATTTTTAATAGTGTTTTTTTTTTTTATTAAAAATATCAACAGCATTAATACGATTCAAACCATTCTATGTACGACACATTCTTATAATCCGATTATAAAAAGACTTATTGTGTTTGTAGACTCGGATTGAAAATGTGTTGGGGTAACATGACTTATGCCTGGTGTTAATGTTGATTGAATGATGTACGAAAGCTTTGCTACCTTATCGCCGGGCACTAGTCTCGCGGTCCGCTGCCTCCTCTCTGGTCCCCAGGCGCCGAGCCACGCGTTCAGCACGACCAGCTGGCGGTCCTTCTGCGAGTCCACGTGCGCGCGCACGTTCACGTGCACGTGGACGTTAGGGTACGGCCACTCGCGACCGTAGTCCATCAGATCTATCGCGAAAGAGTGCAACAGGGGACGGAGCCTGGAATAATATGCATGTGTAATCTAATAAATAATAAATTAAGAATGATAGTGACACAATGCAAAAAATGCGATTTTGAGTAATGAGCGTTTAAAGTTTAAGAAATTGTAATCAGTCCCTCGAAACAACGTGTCGTCGCTACACCACCTAGCAGTTTCTATGCAAACTACGTTCACAGGGATCATTGCATTTTAAAGTTTATACTTAACATAGAATTATGTTGCCAAAAGTAATAAATACGTCGTTTTTGGTTAGTGACATTGTCATTCTCAACGTGCGATGTGTTAGTTGCGAAGATTTTTAATGTTAATATAATATTTGGGACCGGTGTCTATAACATTGACTGCAGTTGTGGTAGTTCGTAATGAAGGACTATATAAAAGCAGTCCGACACAACAACACACAATGCTCAGGGAAGCGATTGAAATAACAAAGCACAAGAATTTCAACCGCGAGGACAGGTTTTAATTGTCGAGTGTATGGAATCCAGTGGTAAGCCAGAAAATAAATCAAAAAAGAGTGTCGTTTCGCGATCAGATAAGAGTGTGTTGTGTGTCGAGAACAGGTGCGAGTTAATGATGACATAGTGAACGGTGGTACGAGTATCGAACGTAAAAAAACGAAGGTAGATAGATATATTTGCTTATGACACCCACCCGTAATAGCTTCAGTTGTCCCGTGATCATGGCGCTTGCAACAGCGCCGAAATATCGAGAACTCAATAAAAACAATGTACATGAATCCTCATTATCATATTATATCCTCATACGGGATCATTTACAAAAACAATGTAAATGATCCCGTAAAAACTATTATTCTAATTTTAACGTTGTGGCTAAGTCAATAGAGATTAAATTTGATATGAACGAACACACAGAAAATTTGAATAGCACGCGACCACTACGCGGCGGACCCATGAAAGTTTTCACGCCCTATAGCACGGTTGCCCAAATAAAAAGAACAGATACATCTAGAAATTTTGTCATAGTAAGGTGAACCTAAAATGTTTACGATGTCTATCATTAGGCACAAAGGTCAATGTACGAATTAGGGATGATGTTTTGGCGTGGATGTCACAACTATGTAGAAAATGTTCATAGGTGACGTCATGTGACATTTCAACCTAATTTATTGATTACGAAAAAAAATACGTATGTTTTTTTTTAATATGGACATATTCCGTTATACACGGAAATTTTGCCAACATCCCGTTTAGTATTCTTCAATAATCTATCTGACAGACAGACAATCAAAACTTTGTCAGTCAAAATGTTCTCTATGTTCGGCGTTCGTGCTATAATAATTGCAATACTTTAAATAAAAGATGGATTTTATTTATAGAAAGTCATTAAAATCCCGCTTGGCAAACATTTTAGTGGACCTGCTTGTTTAATGTAAATACAAAATGATGATACACAAAAGAAATTAACGTATGTAAATACGAGGGTCAAACTGAAAGTTCTTAGAACTGGCCACTTATAAACAATATAATAAAAAAATAATTCTAAAATTTGAAAATATAACTCTTTGCCAATATTACTGAGTATATATTTCATTCATTTGTCATTTGTTTTACGATTTGGCGGCAAATTGAAAATTGTCTGTGTCACGTCATCATGAATTTAACACGAGAAAATTTTCGTGCAATGATTTTTTATGACTTTCGATGTCATTTAAGTCAACAAGAAAGTTATGATAGACTACGATTGGCCTTTCACGATGAAGCCCCATCTCGTGCGACTGTTTACAACTGGTTTAATGAGTTTAAACGTGGTCGCACTAATCTCACTGATGATTTACGTGAGGGACGGCCTTCTACGGCGACGACTGAAGATAACATCTGTGTTGTGCGGCGTATGATAGAGACTGACAAAAGAGTGACCTATCAACAGATTCGGACAAGCTTAGGCATCGGTATGAGTCAAGTGCACAAAATCCTCCACGAACATTTAGCGGTCAGGAAGCTTTGCGCCCGGTGGATACCTCATAATTTGACTGAGGCTCAAAAACTCCATCGTGTGGATTAGTGTCGTAAAATGATTGAAAGATTTAACGGAGGTGACTCAAATGCTGTGTTCGACATACTAACAGGTGACGAAAGCTGGATTTACTGTTATGATCCTAAAACCAAAAGACAATCTGCTCAGTGGGTGTTTCCTTTCGAGGAGTTGCCAACTAAAGTGAAGAGAGATCGAAGTGCGGGAAAAAAAATGGTGGCCTCGTTCTTTGGAAGGATAGGTCATTTTGCAACAATTGTGTTAGAGGATCAAAAAACAGTTTCTGCAGAATGGTACACTACCAATTGTTTGCCACTTGTCTTGGAAAAAGTTCGAGAGAAACGACCTCGCAGTAGGATCCTCCTTCACCACGACAACGCCTCGTCGCACACCGCCAAGCGAACGATCGACTATTTGGCGACATCAAACGTTGAATTACTGGGTCACCCGCCGTATAGCCCCGACCTCGCGCCTTGTGATTTTTATTTATTTCCAAAAATTAAAGAAAAACTTAAAGGAAAGCGGTTTATGAATGCTGAAGAAGCGGTGGCTGCGTATCGCGATGCCATTGAAGAGACCCCTAAGGACGAGTGGGCAAAGTGCTTTTCCCAGTGGTTCCATCGCATGCAGCGGTGTATTGACGTGAATGGACAATATTTTGAAAAGATATAATAAAACTAATAACTGGCTAATGTAATCAGTTTTTGATTTTCTAAGAACTTTCAGTTTGACCCTCGTATTCGGTACTATTTACCTTCCGTGAATAATGATTTGCTGTCCCTCAGGTACTCCGTTTGACAGTGATGCTATAACATTTGGGCGCCAACTATTTTTCTCCGATAATTCTGGAGCAGCATCTACAGACTGTCTGAATGGTACCTGTGTTGAATATAATCGGATTATTCATTTCATGGTATAAATATAACAGAATGATAATGTAATTTTTTTTTGCTGACTCTATTGACTAAGCTGAATGCGATTGGTTACTGTTAATCCATTGTTCGTTGGACGACAACCATTTATTCTGTTTTTATATAAATAAAAAAATCCAACGTTATAGCTTTTCAGTTTATTTTAAACCTTACGACATTGAAAGTAAAGTCCAAAATCAGCTACACACATTGTAGATATTGTCATAACCTGACGTGATGCTGTGTCTAAATGGACGCTAAGCTAATGATATCTATGCTGCCTTTGATCATCTATTAAAATAAGAGTTTTGTGATTATTGTACGTTACCTCAACAGGAGGAGCCGCAAGAGCCGGATATTCAGCTATTTTATCTACTTTTAAGGTCGCATTCCTGACTCCTGCTACTTGCACCCAAGTCGCGGCAAAAGGGCTGGGGTTTCTATGACTATAGCTGCAATAGTGCTCTCCATCTACTGCCCACAGCGTTTCCTTCTCTTCAATCAGCACCTCTATCGTAAATGGACGGTCCATTTTAAATGGAAATAATCTGGAGACAATTATTATTATTATTTATACCTATATGTAACAGGTAGTAACTTGACGCGCTGTTAAGACGATTGAAAAAAGGATAAATTTCTACAATTGATTTATAAGCCTTTATATGTTGATAGTTAGGTTAAACATTGATTGTTGTAGCTGATATACTTGGCGGTAGAAATCGGACCCTCCTTGCATGATACCGGGTTCAGCCTATCTGCGTAAAGTGAACCGCAGCAGCTTTTACCAATTAGGGCTTCCATATTAATTGCCCTTTTCAGGGCGGAGTGGTTGGAGAGCCATAAGGGTTAAGGTGCATTTTGTAGATAAAATCTGAATTTAAATTTTATATACTGTTTATTATTTTTTATGTCACTCTCTTCTTTATACTCATTTGACAGTTTGTATTTACCTCGTGAATTATATTATTACTAGCTTTTGCCCGCGACATCGTGCGCGTGGTAAAGTTACTTTGAGCAGCATTTCTAACGAATATTTATTCATTATATCGTGTAAAAAACCTGAAAAAAAATCTTATCCTCTTAGCTTATGCTCTTAGGGGTGGAATTTATCAAAATCCTTTTTTTAGGGAATATTACGTCATAGTAGCTTTATGCATGTAGAGTCTCGGCACGATCGGTTTAAAATTGACAAAGTTTCATACAAAATTTCATCCCCTATTTTATTTTTATCCCCTTGGGGATAGAATTGATCAAAATCCTTTCTTGGCGGATGCCTCCGTCATATCATAACATCTGCCTGTATGCCAAATTTTAACCCGATCCGTGCAGTGGTTTGGGCTGTGCGTTGATAGATCACTATGTCAGTCAGTCACATTTGAGTTATATATATTTAGATTAATTTCCCGTGGGAATGCGTCATTTTCTCGCGGTAAAAAGTAGCCTATGTCCTTTCTTGGGTATTAAAATATCTCCATACCAAATTTCATGCAAATTGGTTCAGTAGTTTAGGCGTGATTAAGTAACAGACAGACAGAGTTACTTTCGCATTTATAATATTAGTAAGTATATTAGTATATAGATACTCCAATCCACTGCGGCTCTTCATTCCTAGACATTTCCCTGCGTTATAAAAAAAGAACTTGCTATGCTGCTGTATACATCAAAGAACCCCCCCCCCCCCCTCGGTCCTATACCACCTTTAGGCGATTATAGTTTGCGCTAATTCGGCACAATTAATAGGTATATTAATTAATAGAAAAATTACTGCAATAGAACTGTTTTGAGGGTTTTATGTTTTGAGTCTTTATTAGTCCAATTAATTTAATGACTTGCACATAAAGATAAGAGGGTTCTTACGGAAGAGTCAAAAGGATTGATAATGGTCTCAGGTGCTCAAAATGGGATTCGAAGCCATAACCTTTCTCAATCAGGGCGATCAAAATAAAAGTGGCACCTAAAGGCAGTGGTTTCCTCTATTCCCCATTTGTCATGCCGTCGCGTATTCCGCACGACATAACACTGCGGCAGGCGTACATTGAAATGCACCGCGATGTCGCCGCGTCCATCCGGGTCCCCCGTGCCTATGTTCACCGCGAACCTGTAATATGAAGCATCGTGATCGTAACCGTCGCATTTACTTAGCGAATCAATTGGGTACTTGACAGTTATAACAATAAATCATGAAATATGTTTGAAATACAAACTTATATAGGTTTAACAATGCAGTATTTTTTGCATTAAAATAAATTGTAAGTATATTTTATTTATGCAATGCGTTTTATAATCTGTGGATTACAAGAACCCGAGCGGCCATGATGAAGCATCATGTGACGTCACAATTTAATATATTAAACGTCGTCGTCCCTTTTTACCAGTGTGTGTTTGATTAAATCAAAGATTAAAGAAATTCCCAGTAATTTCAAGTTGTGATTGTTTTAATGTCTATGGATTTTTTTTATCACGTGAAATAATTCTTTGGAAAACTTTACGTACGACCTCTTGTAATGTGTTTTGATCATGATGCAGTGAACGGTGTTTGTGTACAATTACGCATATCTCATCTGTAAAATTTTTAATATCGTAATGTAATTTGTATAACTCTTTGTTTACCCTTGAATAAAATTAAAAAAGCAAGGATTATAAATGCAATTTATAAAACATCGCAATCAGTATTCATGTTTATTGAAATGTGTGTAAGTGAATAACAATAAATAATTAATAATAACTGGTTAACTCTGAATATTTCTTCAGATCAATATGTCACATCAAAACATTTTACTGACTTTGGTAGTATACTAGGTCTAAGTAGTACTCTAATCATTGAGTTAAATTGAAAATGAAAACGATATGTAACAATCATAAATCTTTGTTGGTTATAGTTTTTAGACTTATAAAATATTTAATTTGCATGCGCATTGGTTCTTAATTTAGATTCTATCGTAAACTCGGAGCATAGAAATTGTTTCCGTCGTTAATCAATAATCACTTTATTGAGAGTAGATTTTAAGTCAAACGGAGACATTGTCAGTCAGTTTCAAAACTGTAAAGGTACTTTATTAAACTATATTAACATTAAAATATTTAGAGCGCTGGTTTAATGTATCATTAGTGTCTGAAGCGGATTTAAAATTTATTTGCAAGTAGCTGCAAATGTGGTAATAATGACGACTCAATATCTATTGCATTAGTTTTAAACCTACACTTATGTATACACCTGAATAGTGTTATGTTTACTTATCTGATCTAAAATGGAGTAGGAGCATTAGTTTTGAAATATCAGCGAGATATTAGGTATTGATCGTTGTGTTTTTAGGTTCAGGGAAAATTATATTCCGGTCCCATGGAAAACTACTACAGGGCCTCTCCAATGTACGCTACTGCTTATGAAGGTTCTGTTTATTCTTTTGAGGTACGAAAATATGAATATTAATAATATCACAATTATATCATCTATAGCATATTGATAAATGGCATTACTGTATAAGCACAATCTATAAGAGTAATAGGTGTATTTACCATGGTAAATCATCGCTGGGCGTGCCTGTACAAACAATGTGTGCTCCAATAGACAGGTGTTCGCTCAACGTCTGAGTAAACTTCACATCACGTGCTTCCGCTAGCTGAGTCTGAAACCAATGGTAAGTAAATTATATTAATAACAACATGATACAAGTACTCGCTAGTCTGGAACTAAATAAGACATTTTTATTTATTTTTTATGCACAAATGTATACGGAGTTAATGATTGAGGCATCTGTCAGCTAGGGTGATGTGAAGAAGAATAAATGATAAGATGTACAATCACTAACAATATAACAACTAATTAGATAAATTAGTCTAAATTAAATAAGCAAATTGTGAAAATTCAATTGCTGTCCTTTTGTCTCACTAAAATTCCAGAAGCGCAGTTCAGCTGATTTTGGTTTTAAAATGTTTGTCGTAGTCCAGGGAAGGTTTAAGCGGTGAGCAGTATTACGAAGTACACCGGGTCCTCTAGGTTTATAAGTATAGAAACATACATAAATATTCAAACACACTTAGATAAATATTTCCTGCTGAGAGCCCTTTACCCAGATCTAAGTGACTATCTTCTCTTAATCAATCTAATATTATAATGTTGGCTGAAAAGACTGTCCTTATGACGGCAATGAGATAGATGGGAACACAGAGATGGCAAAGAATCATGTTCACTTTCCATAGATTAGTTGACCTGTTTTTTTTTCTCATACTATTAAAAAGTCCTCCGTAAAGACCTGCTACAACGTGAGTCAACTGTATAAATCTGTATAATAATATATTATAATAACCAGAAGAATTAAGAAGAATAATTTTAAAAATATCTTTTGACTGTGTTTTTTATTCGGTTCAGTTTATAACTTTTACAGTTAATAGGTTTTCCTGTACACTTTTCTAAATTTTATTTATATTCAAAATTAATAACGTAATGTGGATTCATGGCTAATATCATCACAATAAGGTCTGAGGCTCTGCCGTTGGAAATGAATTATTAAATGGGAAGAGACAACATTGATTCACTGAATTTAGGAGGACTAAAAGTATACTATCATAATACCTTTATAACTTCAACTTTATTTGAAGAGCGTTAGAACGTCAGCTAAATAAAGCCCTAAAGCTTAAGGCACTGGACACTGACACGACCTTAATTAAAACTAATTCGTTAATAACGAAACTTACGTCAATATGCAAACGAAATTCTTGTCCATTTTTGATAAACATTTGAGTTGAGTCATATCTCGAAGGTGAGGTCATCGAGGCAAGAGTCGCATTTAATTGGTGCCAGGGTCTTATTATAGGTAGGTACCTAAATCGCACATACATAATACATAGCTAATAACAACTTAGTATGAATACTGATTACTTATTTTTGATTTTACATATTGTGTGTCCAAATTATATAATATTATGTAGTATACTGTGTTATCAGTATTCCAGTACTTTGTAGGTCTAAACTTTGCTATATCTTGGGTAATATGGACAACACTTCATCTAGTGATATAACCCAAAGGCTTTTAATCTGAATGTCGGTTAAGAGTTTATAGGATGACTTGTGTTAGTTAACCCTTGGGATTGCGACACTGTGGTTTTGCTAACCATTAAGTCGAACCCAATGAATTTTATAACCATAGGATGATCTAATAAGTGACTTATCTATCTCTTGCAGCAAATAATTGTGAGTTATTTGTTTGAAAACTTTTACTATCTAGTACCTTTGTTTCTTTATATGATTTTGTAACCATCGTGGCTGGATTTATAATAAACGCAAAAGCTCTAATATAAAATTATATTCTAAATCTATTTATGTTTCTAAATAAAGCGAAAAATGTTATAATATAGAAACACTATTGAGCATTTAATTAAATGTTCACAGGTCAAAAGATTCCCACGACAGTAAGTATGTTAATTTATTTTATTAAGATTGTTGACTCTTTTGTTCTTTTTTGTTGTAAATTTATTTATGGTTTTGTATTTGCAAACAAAAGGATAAAAACATATAAAAAGTCTAATAATTGAAGTAAACGTAGATTTTTTCCTGTTAGAACTACCTACACCATAGAAATACCTACTTGTAAAACATACTATAACTATTAGTACTTATCTACAGCAGATCAGACTTGCAAATATGATTTGAGTCATTCTTATATCTATCTTTACTAAATAGTATAAAGAGGAAAGATTTGTTTGTTTGTTTACATAGAATAGGGTCCCAACTACTCGACAGATTTTAAAAATTTCTTTTACGGAATTACATCATTAACATATGACATACGGTAGGTATATGTTACACAGGCCAATCCGCAAAAACAGTTATATATATTCTAAATTATAATCGTAACGTTGGATTATAGTTAAACTGATTGATGTGGATTTAAATTAAAGTTCCCAAGCCTTAGCTCAACCAAACCCCTATATATTGTTTAAACTACCTGTTGGTTTGCGTGCGCCCTAACAATAAATATTAACGACTTAACAGCACCACCGCCCCATCGCCATCAACGTGACCTGGATATTCTTATCGTGTGCTGTCGTTTTGTTCAATCGATTACTTACAGCATAAATGCTCTACAATGTTCCAAGACTTAATATTCTTTACAGGTTATTTATTTTATGTAAAACAGTCAATTACTAAAATATGAGCTTCAGATTGATCGTCTAAAGTCGGAAAAACGTATTAAACAGGAACTCTTATAGGATTGTTGGATGTCTGTCCGTCTGTCACAGTAGATTTTCTCCGAAACTATTGGACAGAGTTGTCAGGAGATTGCCTAAAATTACCCCAGTTTTTCATGTTTGATTATGAAAAACGCGAGACTCAACAAGATTAGCTATGCATAGGAATTTCCTTTCTACTGAAGTTTAGAAATACGGCTTATAAAGGAATACCTTTGTACATACAGTTAATTTCCTAGTGATCGTATCTGAATATGAAAACATAGTTTATTGACAAGAGAAAATAAATATTACAGAATTTACTACTGCTATCAGTAGTAATTTCAGCTGTAACAGCTGTTTCCAAATATATTTTAATAGTATGTAAATTCTCGTGTTAGATTTTAATAGTAAAAAACAAAAGACAAGCATACCTATAGGTACTTCAGAAATACTTTGCGACACTAATATTAATTTTACAAAAAATTGCCACACTTTTCTGCACAAAAAGGATGTATATTCTCACTTTGGAATAAAACATTAGTACAATAATCCAAATTTGATAAGTCGTATAAACTTGTGTGGCAAATTATGAATTAGCTATTGGCTGCTTTTTTTCATTGGTCGTACGTAAACAAACTCGAGTAAATATAATTAATCTTATACTCAGTAGTTCCAATTTTAATTGATCGTTAAATAGCATAAAATTCAATTTCAATTAATTGTATATAGTTTAATTAGTAGGTACGCTGTAGACCACTGGAGTCTTCAAACTTTCCAGCTCCGGGACCAAAATTATCCTGAGGGCCAGAATCGTTTGCATGTTTCAAAAATCTATAGTATTATTATCATTGTAATAGGGGTTAGATTCTAAATTTATTTTTTTGTAGGTGGTATCTTCGAAAATACTATAATAATCCTATTAATATTATAAATGTGAAAGTTATTTGTTTGGATGTTTAGATGTTTGTATGTTTGTCCGTCAATCACGCCGAAACTACTAAACGGATTTTGATGAAATTTGGTATACAGATAGGGTATTAGCTGACTTAGATAATAGAATACTTTTTATCCCACTAAACATTTCCCTAGGGTCCCCGCGGGCGAAGCCGCTGGCGAAAGCTGGTTATCTATAATTCCCAGAGCTGTCAGTTGATGAGGTGTTGAGTACGTGCTTTGAGCAAATATAGAGATTACTAAGTATGAAGTCTTTGAGAATATATAGACTTGTTGTTTATTTCCGTAGACCCCAACTTAGTCTAAGTATAAATTTCATATATTTTTTCTGTTACAGCTACAATCTAACACTTTTTTCATGAACTGCTAATTAGACAATTTTGTATGACGTAGGGTTAAGTGCGGTTACTGAACCTAAATTATAATAACACGCCGCGACTAACACAGAATAAAACTCGCATAAAAATTTTGCACCCTCATCTCGATAACGTTATTTATTATTTAACAAGCTTTCGCCAGCAGGTTCGCCCGCGAGGTCCCTAGGGAAATGTTTAGCGAGATAAAATGTATTCCTAGTCAGCTAATACCCTCTCTGTATACCAAATTTCATCAAAATCCGTTCATTAGTTTCGGTGTGATTAACAGACAAACACCCAAACAAATAAAAAAAATTAATGACATTAATTAGTACATTACAAGTGTCAAAGTTTTTATCTTACTATGTAACTTTTTATATTGATTCTTGACCACATACGTAATAGAATCGCATACCTACTGAAATGTAATTCAAAAATCGTAGTGACATCATTTGAGCGAAGCCAAGGTAATTCACAGTCTGAAAATAAAACGATTCATAGAAGAAGCGTACATTTTTGTATCCAAAGAAAACATTCATTCTATAAATATTTAAACATTAATACCCATACGAATTAAAGTGTTTTGGCGTTTGTCTGAAGTGTGAAGAAATCATAAAATGTAACACCCAATTTTCTGATAATAAGGTATCGAAATCGTATTCTTATCAGAGAGTTAGGTACTTCTTTACGTTGTATTTCATATCTTTGTCTTTGTTACAATTTTCTTAATCCATAAATTATGTAATGTAATACCTGAATTATTTACAAAATATAAATATAAGAAAAACGACTCGGTATTATTGTTTGTTTTGTAAATAGTGTAACAGTTTCTTTCGATGTCATTATACTCGTAATCAGACTAAGGTAAATAAACGATCGTTTTAATAGAAAATCATGGTTAATATTAAGTAATATTGTTATTTTGTGCCTCAACTTGTAAACGCATAGTACCGATTAACATTAACAAAAAAAAACTGTCTGCTAACAGTTGTAATTACGAGGTGTTACTTCGGGTTTACAATACTCTTAAAAGTGTGTGATTCATACGTGTGCATAAAATAATAATTTGGTACCACGTTTAGGACTTCATAAATTTATAAACTACCCCAACATTCTGAAAGTTAAAATTAAATTATTAAGGAACAATATCAGGCCCCTCGTAATAATGAATTGAGTTTGTTATTCTAATCACAGCCTTTTTAATTGGCCGGCCTAATTTTAATGGTACTTCAAGTTCTTTGATATTTGTTATAAATTACTTTACGTTCTTCAATCTATTATCTAACAATGCCGGTTCGAGGCAGGGTGAATGTAATTCGAGTTTCTTACCCCAAAATCATAACATGAACCGGTGACATTATTTATTTGGTATATTTACCAATGTAACAGGAACCGTTTCATCAAGAATTGTTTCTTCGGCTGGTTGTTGCGTACGACAAAACAAACGGCGGCAAAAAGCGCTGCAGCCACATCTCTTACCGCATACCATTTTTATAAATTTCAACGAACAGTTTTAACCACTTTTCACTCATAAAATAAATGGCACTAGACTAGTTATATTAGTACAAATCCGAGGACACATTATCACTAAAATATCCGCTCACGTCGCAAACGAGCGTCTGGGTCTCACCACGGTAAACGGCACACTCGCTAGGAAATGTTGCGCTTGGATTGTGTTTTGTGCTATCAACGAAAACGACGGCTATAGCTATTCGAAATAAGCCTTTTTGTTACCTGCCTCTTTTTTATGACATCCCTTTATGTACCTAACTATTCCGCGTTTTTCGTCATTTTATATATTGGAATAATTAATGCTTATGTTATTATAAATTGTTTTCGCTGCGTTATTTAAAATTTCTCAAGCTTCGTAATTCCGATTAAGTGTTGTTTATAAGTTTTTGTCTACCTCAAAAAGTATTACCTTCGTACTACTAACCTACTCAATTCAATCCACCTAAGAAATCATGTAATTTTGCAGGTGATACGCTGATAAGCAATAATAGTCAAAACATTCTTATTTACATATACTTTTTTAAATGTCTTGGTTACATAAAAGATTAAAAGAAATCAACAAGGGTTTCTAAATTATTTCATAAGAATTGCTTCCTTAATTTTCCCGCCAATGATAAGCAGGTGACAGTCTGTGAAGGGAGAAATAAATGTTGCAAGAATAAAAATATTTGTTGTTAAACCGACAGGTCAGGTTTTACAAATCTATCAAATTTCATCACTAGATTTTAAACCTAAATATTTTGGATATAGAGTTTAAAATCAACTACGGGGATTTGGCATGTTGTGGTAACCCTAACTTGCAGCCTTGTGTATAAACATTAACAAAGAATTTGATGTTCATAATTATTTAAATGTGAATGTTCTAGGTAATTAATAAGGGAGTTTTTAATAACACATAAGTATCACCCAAAAAAATGTAGTACCCACTATAGATTATATCATCTAAAGCCGAATCCATGGCACGAGATCGATCGATATTTGCTGTGGTTTAGTAAAAGTTATCTTGTTAGAATAGCATGTTGTTTTAAATGAAATTTAGAAGTAGGTAGGTACTTATAAGTATTTTATTTTACATTAAATTACACTACGGGTAGTAAATTATTCAAGGTTTTCTTCTCAATAAACATCCATTTCACCTGCAAAGCTGTTCTTAAATAAGATCTTCCACATAAAATTATTGTTAAAAAACCTATGCACTATGTAATTTGTGTAAAGAAAACTTTCTGTAGAGTAAAATTGGTAAAAAGGATATCTTGATACGCATACTAACCTCGAAATCCAGGGCATCCTCGGCAAAATCATATTCAATAAAATCCCTAGATATTGTCCCTTCTTGTACGTCATAGTCCATTTTAACACAACGAACACAACTCAATGTCTCAACAGGCATAGCCTTTCACAAATCCTACCTTCCTACTTAATTATATTAACTTAAACTACTCACTTCAGACTGGCTGTGAACTATAGTGAATCACTACAAACATAACACTCCAATCAACTGTGCTCAGTAAATAAACAATCAAACCAGTTTTATCGTAATATCATTAGTCACTTGGAAACGATTTAAATTTAACACTGCCCATCATATATTTGTTTAATTTGGAGTAATTTTGTGTAGCTCAAAAATAAAAATAAATCATAGAACTTTCAAAGTTATTAAACATAAAATATCATAAACTGTTCTATATATTTGTCTGTACAGGCAGTCACCACTGAGAACCTTTTGTTATCTGCCTCTGCATAAGTTGATAAAACATATAACATCTCTATAAATACATAACATATGAATCTACTCTACTTTATGCAGTTGGTGGCACAGATTAACAATATGTGGATGTAGGTTGATGGTATAAAGGTATCATTGATTTTTTTTTATTGAGTTGGGTTGCCAGCCCTCTAGAATTAAAATGCTGTAGTAGTTTTTGATTGATTGTATTGGCTTTGTTTACTGGATTAAAGCGAAATAACCGAATCTTTAACAAAACATTTTTTGTTTTTTAGTGACAAACACAAAAAAACTAAAAATGTTTTGTTAAAGATTAGAAGTAATTATTGTGATTAGTTATCGGATCTGCTTCGTTACGGTTGATGAGATATCCTTGCTTTTGTAATTCGATTTGCTTCATGTTTTACAGTCCATTTGCGGATTGTTTGACGACATTAAAACTGCGCATAAACGTAAAATGAAAGGAAGGGCAGTAAATGTCAAAGATAAGGAGGGATTATAGGGCATTCCGAGAAATATGTATGCGTACTACGATTTAAAATATTCTTTGATCATAATAACCCATCTCAAACCAATACGATTAAGTATATGTGTACATTAAAAGTTCTCAATCCATACCTTTGGCTAAAAAATGAATAAATATTTGTAAAGGGTTTTATCACTAGTTAAACGCGGGTTTTAATATTTTAACATAAAAATACATTTCTAGGTTCCCATAAAATTCATAACTTTTGGACATCTTATCTCATAGTCGAAGACTTTACAATAATAATATAACATTTTTACAATAATGGTAATGATTTGCGAGTAAGCAATGAAAATAGTTTTAGGTAAAATTCGCCATTTTCTGTCGCTATTTATTACATTTTATTTTTACGACCAGCCTTAAAACTATGTATAATTTATTTATTACCATTTTTACCAAACGTCCCATATTACTTTTATTCTTTTTATTATTGGCCGCCTGGATGAGATTGGTGCTAAGTAATACGTCCACCTTTTGAGTACTATACATACTTGTATTTCTACTATGTGTATAATAGAGTTTATTATTATTATATCTTTATTACTACCTCTGATTCCGTGTTATTCAGACCTCCTCTTCGTACACGGATGATGATAGATACCCAGGGTTATTATATTAATATTAAAAATAGATAGAACGTGTGAATTTAATTTAGTTAGAAATAAAGAATATTTATTCCCATAAAGATTTTCATCTAAAGTGAGGCACGTTTCGACAAAATACCTGATTGGACGAGGAACAAATTATTAAGGAATGGCACATATAATTATCTAGATTATTTATACTAATATTATAAAGCTGAAGAGTTTGTTTGTTTGTTTGAACGCGCTAATCTCAGGAACTACTGGTTCGAATTGAAAAATTATTTTTGTGTTGAATAGACCATTTATCGAGGAAGGCTTTATATAACACCACGCTGCAACTATTAGGAGCGAAGAAATAATAGAAAACGCGGACGAAATCGCTAGCGGCCACTATTTTATTATAAACTACATACTACATTACACTTAGAAATAATCTAAAACAACACTTTAATAAAATGTTTTTATTAAATCATTGTAATCAGACTTAAGATTTTTTTTTTTATCACAATATACCTAAAATACTTTGGCATGCGATATAATCAAATAAACCAATGTTGTACAATAAAAAAAAAACGTTATTCAAACGACAGAATAATCGTAGGTATTGGATTCACTTTACTAGATGCAAGCTATATTATTTACGCACAAGAATTAATATAATATTCTTCAACTTAACTAACCAGTTATTAAGTCGTTATTTAAACGAGATTGTTTTGGAGGTGCCTGAAACAAAAGAAATTGTTTTGATTATTTGGTTATATTTACATTCACATAGACAATATATGCAACTAGTAAATTAACTTTTTTGTTGTATTTAATCTATACTAAGAATGTTCACTACGCGTTTTTTAATTAACTATATATTTAACTATACTCGAGACCCATAATTTGAAATATATTCATATTTATAAACAACGACACGGACATACTTGTTCTTGTAGGTTAGTTTGGTGTATGCATGACACATTGAAAATATGAGGCTATAAAGGGTCTACTCACTACTCTAGGGCGCCGTCCATTAATCACGTGAGGCTCGAAGGGGGGGGGGGTCGTAAAAAGCACGAAATATCACAGGGGGAGTATATCACGTGTATTTATTTTTCCTCAAAAGCGCGATTACTAAACCGAATGGCGACGTCACAAATTTAGATCTTTTTGTACTAAAAATACACGTGATTAGGGTGGAGGGGGTGTAGGCTTAAACCTCACCATGTGTTACCAAGGGCGAGGGGGAGTTAAAAAGTTTTGAAAATACATCACGTGATTAATGGACGGCCCCTAGACTGGTGGGCACAATATTGACGTTCAGGTTAATACAATTAAAAATGCGTGTCGCCATATGTAAAAAAGGGACGTACATATCATATAGCTCTGCTATTCCGTAAAAATACAACGTTAAACCTACTTCAAAAGGTTTTAAGTGACTAAAACGCTAATTATGTGACAACACTGTACGTTTGTACTATTAACAAAATAGCACCGTAAAAAATACAATACTATATCTAATAAACAAGCAAGTTTTCATCACTTTGCGCCATCAAAAGAAGACGCTAGTGACCTATATTTAATTTTTTTTAACAAACTATTTTTGACCTTTTGCTTATTTTTTACACAAATATAAAACTTAGCCAAACCAAAGATAGATCAATACAAAAATAATAACTTTACAAGAATAAAAAAATAATATCGTATTGGTACGAGCGAATATCTTTATTCTGCATTTCTCCATATAAACTTTAAATCCAAATACCTCCTTAACCATCCATAAAGAAGGCCTGAGCCTCTGCAGTGGGGACGTAAAAGGGCTGATGATGATGATGACAATTCCATACTCCTCCGCCTATACAATTTTCGTAAAAAGAGGTCCAAGGATTTTGATTATCTATACTAATATAACATATACTCTTTATTGCACAATAAAATAACATAATAATAGTAGATAAATTAACTTCGTTTATTTGTTCGGGGTAATCTTCGCAAATATTGATTCGATCATGAAAATTCTTTTACCTACGGGAAATTACATTATACGCGGGGGTTGTAGACTATAATACGGGCGAAGTTGCGGTAAAATAGCTAGTATAGTATAAAAGTATATCTCACCCGGTCCGGATGCGCAGCCCGCATGTGTTGCAACATCTTAGCTCGTGTGACGTACTGACGGGGACATAATGGACATGCTGCAGGTTCACAGCTTCTAGTTCCCGTATCTATTGAACTGCCCTTCACCAGTTCCACGCCTGACGAAAATTCCCTATATTATTAATCTTCAAAGTAAAAATTAAATTATCGTAAAAATAGCACCCTTAAAAGACTTGGGAATTTGAGCAAATGTTATAATCAGACTTTTTTTAATAAGCATTAGGTAAAAATAATACACTTTAGATTTCCGTCTCAGACTCGGCGAAGGTGTGCGTTTCGAAATTAAGTCTTGTGCATAGGAATTTCGAAAGATCCATATACAATAACTAATATTCCTCACCGATGTACAGCAGGCCAATAGGGATGACGACTATTTTTTGTTTGTTTGTCCGTCAGATATCTAGATTGTTGAAGTATATTTAACAGGTATTTTTATTTTTATTTTCGTAATCATTCAATTACGGCAATATATTGAGTTAAAATGTCACATGACGTCACGCTTTAGTACATTTTCTACAAAACTGTGACATTGTAATAACCACGTAGCCCGGTGGCGTAGTGTATAAGCGTTGCGGCCTGCGATCGTTGTCGTTAAGCAACTTTCGTTAGGATTGGTCACGGGGTGGGTGATCAAAAAATTATTATCTCGTGTGCTTCAATCGTTAATACCCTCCAATCCGCATTGGGCCAGCATGGAGGGTCGTGTCATATCCTCTTTAACCATCCATAAGGAACGCCTGAGCCCCTGCAATGGGGACGTAAAAGGGCTGATGATGATGATGATGAATAACCACCTGATGTGGACTTCAATATTGGACTTCAGGTTGATATTACAATGACAAAATGCAAGTAGTCGAGATTATTACTGCTTATAAAGAGGATATGACACGACCCTCCATGCTGGCCCAATGCGGATTGGAGGGTATTAACGATTGAAGCACACGAGATAATAATTTTTTGATCACCCACCCCGTGACCAATCCTAGCGAAAGTTGCTTGGATGAGCCATATTAGTTGTATCTTACTGAATCAACAATTGAAACCTTAAAATGGATTATAGAAATTCGCCATTTTGTTGTACATGCTGCTAGCACCAAAAAAATAAATAAACTCGTAGAACTAAATTCCCCCTCAGCAGTGATGGTCCTGCACAGCGGGTTATATCAGATTGTTCCATCAGTTTGAGAGCCCTCATATAAGGTATAAGGTGCATTCCCCTACGTTAAATGGAAAAGGACTATAGCCAACTTTCATAAACACAACGAACAAAATAAAAATGATTAAAATATATGTACATAACTTATTTCTAGGGTTCCGCAGTAAACAAGGAACCCTTAGTTTCGCCCTGTCCGTCTGTCTATCCGTCCATCCGCGGTTTAGTTAAAAAAATATTGGTAGTAGAAAGTTGTAATAAATTGTATACTTTAACGCCAATAAAGTGGTAAAGTAAAAAATCGAGAAATATTTTTTAGGGTTTCTCCTCTACATGTAAAATAGGGATGATATTTATTTTTTGTCTTCCCCATGGTGAGGAGCATCGTTGGATAGGTCTTTCAAAAACATTGGGGATGTGGGAAGGTCGTTTTTCGACCAATATTATTTAAATGGAAAATTTCAAACAAATCCATAGAAAACAATAAACGTGATTTTTTTTACTTTTTTTAATGGACTCTCGCACTGAGGACACTACAATTGAGGATTGAAGTTAAGCTTTGTAAAAACTTATGTTTATATCGATTGTAATTTGTCTGTGTACCTACGACAATTAATAAATATATATTTAAATTTGAATTTAATTGAATTTTAAACAACATCATAGAGATACACAAGGTGAGTAGCTAAAGCCCCCGTATTATAGAGTATCTGAGACAATGAAGGTACCACAACACCCAGTCCCAACACAATATAGAAACGTTCATTTTCTACGTAGACCCGACCGGGAATCGAACCCGGAACCCCATAGATGGCGACACCTTGAAACCGGCGTGCGAACCACTCGGTTAACGGAGGTCGGCAGGGTCGGCAAATAGGTCTGTATACCGGGATGATGTCGTCGCACGTGCTCGTCGCGCTTGCTGGCGGCGCGGTACAGCTTAGGGCATGCGACGCACGGGTAGTGCCGCACGCGACGTTCCAGCGGCACCGCCGCGCGGGCGTCGTGCACTCGCCACATGTGGTTCACTAGCATACCGCGACGCTTAACCACGTGACACAAAATATGTTATTTTAAACTTTCATGGTCAGCATGGTGCCGCTGGAACGTCGCGCAGAGTAACTACTGCATTTAAGATTGATTTGCAACTTTTGTGTCGCGTGAGAATGATTGCTAACGGAATACGAGAAAATCGTTATACTTAAGGTACATGGTAGCAATAACATTTCTAGCAATCATTCTCACGTGTCACAAAAGTTACAAATTAATTTTAAATGCAGCAGTTGACGCACGCGACTTTCTAGCGGCACCGCCGAGCGGGCATCTTGCACTCGCCACATGTGGTTTACTAGCATACCGTGACGCTTAGTCACGTGACACAAAATGTATTGTTTTAAACTTTCATGGTGTTAATGCATCAGAATGATTGCTAAAATAAGGTACATGCTAGCAATTCCGTTTTTAGTAATCATTCTCACGCGACACAAAAGTTGCAAATCAATCTTAAAAGTAGCACTTTGTTGGAAAGAACGAAGTCTCTGTTTTATAAAGATAATTCGTCTTTAGGGCAAAAGAATCGAATGTGGCAAAGACTTGTGATATTCCATTTGGATAAGTATTCTTTAAACCAATTTTATTTCAAAATTGTTGTTGTATAATTCGTACGAATTATGTTCTATTCTATTTGTCCTCGAAAGTAAATTAATAATATCGAACCTTTCTCATAAATTTGTTGAAATCATACTTTTGAACAATATCTGTGCATCAGAGCTAGTGTCAGGTCATGTTCGCATCATAAATTATCGAAAAATGCTTTTCTTTGGAATCGTATTAGCATTTCGAAAATAGACGAAGTTTTGTTTTCGTAGAAATAGAATAGGCCTTAGGTGTCACGCTAGTTCGTACGAGTAGTATATGATAACATTTTTTAGTGGCGGTAGTGAAAAATGACTTCATAGACTAATGAAATCCTTATTCTATAGACTTTTAAAATACATATTCAATTCAATCCCATTTATTCATATATAGAGAAAGAAAAAACAATGCCTAAAGTAATCTTAAAAGGTCATTAAAGGTCAAAAAGTCTAAACTTACCAAATAAGTTTGGTCACACTTGTCACATTTAAAGATTGCATCTTCATTTAACTGCAACATAATTTATTTACTTAAACTTATGTTTAAAATTAAAGTTATATTTTATATATATTATAAATTTTACCTTCTGTGTCAATGAGCTCAAGCCATGTTGGGTGTGTATATGTTGTGCTAGTTTTTCCTTGCTCTTATACATACGGCCACACTCACACGTTAAAGAAATCCGTTTGCATTCTCTGTAAAGTAATATCTCGTATTTTAATTCTTAGGTAGATGTCACAATTCTAATTCAATCTCGGAATATTTTCACTTTTTTTAATGCCATACGCAAAGGTAAAAGTAAAAACGGGACCCAATTACTGTCAACACCAGGCTGAATTTCATTGTTGTAATGAAAAAAAAACATTTCGTCAGATTTATTTCTTTCGCTACTATAACAATAAATACTCAAAACCGATTGAAATGAATATTAATGGTTTGATGTATGTGATACAATAAATGTGATTGTTTTCCGTTTTTTATAGATAATTGTAAGGAACCTTTCGTGAGCGAGTCCTACTGGGCCGGTTTTTTGTACATTTTAAAAAGCTAATTTTAAGTTAAGTATTTCAATTAAATTGATTTGCCGTATAAGTACCAATTTTAAAAACATTGATCATTATTAATAGAAAAACATTAGAGTAGGTTAGGTTTCTGATTAATTTACCTTATATGCCGATTCATATCTCCTTGTACTATAGTTTGTCTACAGTGTTCACATGATATAAGAAACGGCTCATTTGGGGGCTCAACCTTGCTACGATCCTTGAATAATATTACACATTACTTATTAAATAATAATTAGTTTACTGTAAAAACAGTTCAGGCAAATCTTTAATAATAACAAAATCTTTAAAAATTTAAGCAAATCAAATATAAAAATGTCTACCTCATTTTCACACTCTTGCTTATTCACTGTAGGATCCAAATCGACTGTCATGCCATTATGATCTTTGTAAGAAACACCATACAGATTGAAATCGTTTTCAGATCTAGAACTTCCTGATATTTCAAGATTCGACATACGATCAGTGTCAAAGAGGCTAGTTGAAAAATCTAGACCATTCGAATAGTTTTGTAAGCTTTCATCAGACGGCAACCTATTATCCTCTATATTGGAAGCTGCAGTTGGAGCAACTTCTGGTAAACAATTCCATTTAACTGTGGCTCTGTAATTCAATCATATGTGAAAAGAGAATGTTGGCAACTAAAGGTCATTCAAAAGTTGGGAATATTTGGTTACCACTCACGTTTTGTCAGACTTTTTGGTACAATACAATGCAGTGTGACGATTTAAACTGAAACCAAAATAAAATATGTTTATGAAATGTTAAGGAATAAATAACTAATTACATATTTAATGAAAATATGTATAGTAGTAATAGAGAAGTTAAAAATAATAAAGAAAGAGAACACCATTACAGTGACTTAAAATATGAAAAAAAAATAAGTTTTTAAAAACAAGCTGTTATTTGTGCGCGCTAAAACGTAAATTAATAGTAATAATAATAGTAGTAATAATAGTAATTAATAAATAAGCTGTTTTTTAATATATTTTAATTTTTTACTTTTGTCTCATGCTTTTCATTTCTGACATAGCATCTATATTGCAAAGTGTTTGTTTGAATATGTTGTTCTCATAAAGACGGATCTATAGAGCCCAAACACGATGTAGTTATTTTAGGGCTAAGTTCCTATGATCACCTTCCGACTTCATCATCATATCAGCTTATTGACATATTAATATTGCATTGTCCTCTGAATTACATATCTATGCGATATTTCAAATCTATTAGGACGTGGCTTAAATTTTAGTGAGTTCTAATATTTGTGTACTAACTAAGATACTTACAAGGCAAATAAAAGCTTGTAGTAATGGTAAAGTTACTAGGGACACACGGGTATCTTGCTTGCCAAGGAATAAAAGGTGACGATTGAATGAGTAGGTGCTATACATAATGAAATCCTGAGAACGACAAACGCAAGAAGTCTTGCTACAGAGTGGGAAGCAGTTAAAAGAAACTTATGTAGGTAAAAAACAGCTAAAAACACTTACGTAAATATTCTACTGAAAGTATGTAAACAATACCGACAGCGATATCTTCCTCGTCGCGTTCGGAGACGTATCGTATTCTGAAAGAAAGAATTTATATTTTATACGTTCTATGGCTTGACTTTTTAATTAGAATATTACAAATTATATCTTAATTATACCTTATATCCATTTCTACGATGATACGGACCCGCAGTTTCACGGCATTGTGCTTGGAGATCTTCACATAAAACTGCGAAAAATGATGTATGTTTATGAATAGTTATTTATTAAAAGGAAGGAGTTGGAGAAAACATTACGAACTATTCAAGATTATATCTGCGTATGTTTAGTTTTCAGAAAAAATGATGAAGTGATCATTTGTTTATACTAATATTATAAAGAGGTCAAGTTTTTTTTTATGATTTAGGGGGCAGACGAACAGACGGATCACCTGATGGTAAGTTTTAACTTTGTTTGTTTGTTCGGGGTAATCTTCGGAAATACGGACGAAGTCGCGAGCAAACAGTTAGTATTACATAAAATAAAATTTAATTGTTAATTATTCAATAATCCTTGATAATTTAAAAAAAACTATGACTTTTTAAAACTGCATTTCAATTATATCTTAGAAACTTTAGAAATACTATTGATAAGAAACTGATTTGAATATATAATCAAATAGATGTTACCTGAGGAAATATCTAATACTGGTAGTCCTGGTGGAATGCCACAATCTTCTGTATACTTTTTGCTATAGCCCAAGATTAAAGGAGTACGCGCCGCGATGGATTTCACAGCCATTCCATATAATTCTTCTCCTTCTTGATATAACCAAACATTTGCTGTATGTTGATCTCCAAGTGGCAAAAGGCTAAACCAATTTGATTTATCTAAAAACATTTGCAAACGAATATACTGAATAGAAAAAACTTTGTCATGCAATAAATAAATAGGTATTATAATAAAATGCTCCATTACCTTTATCCAAGACATCAATATAAGTAATATGGTCATTGTTGATCATAAGATATATTGGAACTTTACATCTAGCAGCTTCAAGAACTATTTCACAGGCATTTTCATTTGTCAAAACTGTCTTCACACCTAAACCATACCATTAGTTGTAATAACAGAAAACTTTGTAGAAAACAATAAATATTACTAGCTATACCCTTCGAGTTGGTCGTCGACGTCCGTTACTACACAGGCACATCAACGGGTACAGTCGACAAATAAATAATAATTAGCTTGGCTTAACTTTCCATCTGTTAAAGTTTATGTTATTTTTGTTAAGTTTATCAAACTTAACAAAACGATAATAATTATGTATCTATAACATAACACAAACATTTTTTTTTTTATATTGACCAGCATGGACATGCGTTTGCAATGACGTTGCTAACGGTAGTCAGAGGGCGTGTCCGAATGAGCGGTGCCGTGAAGCGGGAAGGGCGGGAGCAGACAACTCGAAGTGAACAGCTAGTGTATTATTGTAAAGAAGGATTTATGTTCCATATAAAAACAATATATGTAGCAAGACAAACCAGACTACCTTTGACGGGACCAAATTTTACTCTTGTTGGTAATGAGCGACGAGGTATTACTGAACCATTTTTGTAATACAATGCTGGCGGGAGTACAGCAACTGCACGTGGAGGCACTTTAGTATCTTGTAGATGGACTATAAATAGAAAGAAAATAAATATTGTTTAATTTATTAAAAAATGTATTAAATAGTAATATAGCAAATAGTTATATAATGTATACCCCATTTACTATTCACAATTTTTTCCTAATGTGGGAACTCTGTTGCCATTTGAGAACTGTCAACACAGGTTTTAATTGATATCCACTTAGTATCTAGTATAATATATCCAAGTAATATTCAATTATTGAATTTCAAAATAATTTAGACATTGCACCAGGCCTGATCTAGAGGGCACAAGTGAGGGCACATGCCCCAGGCGCTAGTGCCAGGAGGAGCACCAAAATAATCATAATACCTATAATATGGTAAAAAAAGGAAGAGCTTCACAAAAATGTCTTTTTATTGAAATTTTTTCAAAGTCCCTTAATGAAAGAGGAAAAATATGTTGGGCCCACTATCAAGTTTGTGCCCTGGCTGGACAAATCATAGATGGCTAAGTATGCATACCATTCTCTCAGTCTCCATGCTTGTTCTGTTCCCATTATCTCACAAACTTATTATTATGAAATAAAAATCTGTTTACCAATTTTTTGACATTTCTGCTTTTCCTCTTTCCTAGACTTCGTAATATTCGTAACATATTCTTTATTTGTATCATGGAACCCATTTTCAAAATCCAAAACTATTGGCGATGCTGGTGAGATATCTTCGCAGTCTATTTGTGAAATATTTTGAGTATTTGTCAAGTCTTCTTTTATATTCAACTGTGCATTCAAATTACACTCATAATTAATGAAATTGAGAAGGTTGTGTTCTTCAATATCAGATACTGTAAAAAAAAAACAATAAATATTACTTTTACTTGTACTTTATATACCAAAGAACATTTAACCATATGTTGTGCAGTCAGTAAAGGGTTTAAAATGTAAACATATTTACCAATAAGAATGTGTGAGTCATCATCTTGCACAGGTATAGAAATATGCTCTTTTTGATCCTGCAAAATAGTAGTAATATCTAAAGAGTAACTGCAGCATTAAATTATTTCAATATTTACACAATGACATTGTATTTAATTCAAATTGCTTACATCAGATGGAACTGCTGTTCTCAATAATTTGGTTCTAGAACTGTCAGTGAAATCACAGTCCTTAAAATGTTTTTGGCAGAGCATTCGGTGTTCACTGTATAGTTTCATTTGAAATGATACTAGAGAATAGTCACGATCAGGGAAGATATATTTGGCCCATAATAAACAACTAAAAAGAAAAGCACACAATGTTAACAACATAGTTTGTTTAGTTTAGGTTAAAATAACAAAAGCCATAAATGGACCACAATCTGTTGTAACAAAAATTTTACAAAGATGTAACTGCTAATTGCACAAACAGTATCATTATCCAGATTACCAATTGTGCCATACACAATCAATTCTACTGTTAAAAATGTTTAACAGTTACTGTGGGCAGTACACTTGAAATGGTGTTGTAGCTGCTAGATGGTGTTTGTACAAAATTAAAATAAAAAAAAATGCAAAAATTTTATTTATCTACTTGGGAATTGATAAGTCTTTGTACTACTAACTATGTATGACTTAATGTTTATAGTAGCAAAAGATCAGTGTATGTAAATTAAACATCACATTGTACCTAAGTAGGAGCTCAAGATTCACAAGGGTTTACAGTAGAATTTTTTTTTCTAGATTGTAAGCGATAGATTGCAAAATGTGACAACAACTCGTAGATTTAAATCTTAGAGAAAATTGCAGATGGAGAGAAATAGTCTCTTGGCATTTTTGAATGAATCTTTTGTTTACGGTACAAAATATATAAACGTATTTACAGGTAAAATAAGAAGTGGTATATTAGTTGAAGTTTAAAAATAGTTCAACTAATATGTGGAGAAAGATTTTATTGGAAAACGCAGATATATTCAATATCGTCTGAATTTAACTTTACTTACATACCGTTCAAGGTTCCTGACAGAAGGTTTAGGAAACCTGAATAATTTAACGTCGTCTGCAGCCGCAGAACAACCGCATTTAAAGCATTTTCTTTTATCAGTCATCATGCGCATACAACATTAATTATCTTCTCTAGTAATATTTTGCAATTATTACAATTAACATAAACACCACAATAAACACCGCAAAAGATAAATAAACAAACAAACAATTAGGGATGCGCATGAATCGGATAACCGATATGTTTATCTATATCGGTATATCAAAACAAAAAAATGAATCGATACCACCATAACAGCGATATCGATATCGTAAAATAATGCGAAAAATACCAATAATTTGAAACCTAATCTCGAATGTAGCTCAAAAAGTAAATATATATCAGTTATTTAAATTTTAACAACTAACGACTGATGGCTAGTCTTGGAGAATCTAAGGGGCCGATCTTTACATGTGACATTTGTGAACGGTTACACCTGAGGGCTACACAGGCTACATAATGAGGAAGTATTGGAAAAAGAATTAGTTCCCGAAATCAAAAAACTACGGTACGTTCTTGATTTCTCCGTGATAACCCTTCTGGCCCAGATCAAATAAAAAGTAAAGACGGAGTTCGCTGAATAACAAAGTGAAGCCGATTTTTAGCAATTGTAGTGTGCGTGCCAGTGTGACCATAGTCATTAAAAACACCCCAATAACTTAACGTTACGACGTTATAGAGTTAACGTTAACGCTATGCTATTTAATAATTCGATGTAAATTCGTTTGTCAATATCAGCATAGATATTCTAAAATCTTTAAAATTAGGTAATTATTATTGGAGGCCATACATTAGAGAGACTATTTAATTAATTTTTAAGTTAAGTTTGAAAATTTCCACTATGTTAACTAAAATTTTTATATATAGAAAGTTTGAAACCTTTGGATATAAGTTTTGCTTTATTCGACGTAACCCTTTTATAGTATAATATATATCATTGCTCTTAAAATGAGTCGAACAAACTACGCTGCGCGAAATTGGATTCCATGAAGGTTCATTTCGACTATAACGAATGAGTGAAATCCACTTCTCTTTCAACTTTTGATGTTTTTGAATGCAAAATTTATTAAATATCAGTTCCATACAACAAGAAAAAAATACATAACGTAATTTGTGTTTTGTTAGAAATAACGCGTTATAAAATTAAAGTTACCTGATTTCGGGGTAAATAATAACGTTTAACGATGGTAATATTTGGCTGAGGTTTTGTGTTCCAAGCAATTACTTAAATTTTATTTTTAAATTACTGAAAATGTAAGTTTTCTCCAATACTTATGTGTGAAATGCGATTCCATCCTGCTTTTTATTTTTTGAGGATTGGTTTTTACAACCTTTTCTACACAATTCGGCAGTTAGTAAGAAATTTTTGATTTTTCTTATAACGAAACGTTCCGCACACTGTCTTTAGTTAGACTGATAAGGGAGGCGTAGTTTCGTTATGTATGTGTGCCTGAAACTGTGTACGAATACGCCGAGGCGTAGTTTTGCCGGCTTCACTTTTCTGTTAGGCAAAACTCCGTCTATACTTTTTATTTGGTCTGAGCCTTCTGGTTTTCTTTTATGTATAAAAGTTAATTAATTTTCAAAACGCAATAAACAACTAATATTCTATTTGTACCTTTTCGTATTTGTAATGATATCTAAGTTTCCAACTTTGTAAATTTCAGTTTTTTAATATGTTAGTTAAAAGGAACGGAAATGACTATATTTTGTCTATTAATTTCCTGCAAAAATCAACTTTTGCTAGAGTCGCCATCTATCGAGGTGCTTTTTTTTATACATACATGAAAAAAAACCGAAAGGGTTGTCATGGAGAATTTTCGGTACTATTTTTTTTTAAATTATAATAACCTCATTATAATCTCTCATTATCTCACAATTTTCAGATTATAACCACGCTACAACTACGGCTAAAATAGATGGCTATGGCCCTTGGATCATAGATTCTGTATGCTAAAACCACAGGATAAAACCAGATAAAACTTTTAACTTTACTATTAACCAGATAAAACTCTTTCTTTCTATTTTGCAGATCTTAGTTCTAGCAAGTTTCTACAATTCAAGAAATTTTTAGGATGGATTTCATATCGATTTACATTATAAATCTATTCTAATGTCCTACTTATATATGCCAAGAAGTCATAGAATTTCTTGGTATATACTTGTCACAGTAGCCAACTGGTTAAAAGTTAGATTTCTAGAAGAATCATTATGACATTTGGACCGTTCAACAAAATGGCTGATTCAAAAGCCGCAAAAACGTTCATTATGTTAAAATACCTCAATACAGGACCAAAATAACTTAGTTATTTATCGTTTTATGTAGTTATTAACTATTGTAGCACCAAAGTTCGAAATTGGAATATATATACTAAATAAATCGCAGTCCGTCTGAATCGTGGTGTATCTTGTCTTTCTATAATTGTATAAGTATTAAGAATTTATTGTGAAAGTTTTAACTTAATTTACCTTTTTTTAACTTAATTAGTTTCCTGTATTCAAATCAAATCAAAATTGTTTATTCAGTTTAGGCTTTTACAGAGCACTTGTGAAAGTCGAAATATTGGATCATACGGATCAATAACACCCAGTTGTGAATAACGTAATTGGCTATTTGTCATTATTTCATAACGGACTAATAATTAAGGGACTACAGTGACAGCTTATTCATTTCCAAATTGAAGGTGGTGGCGCTGCCCGCCTGAAAAACTCATAGGTGGCAGCTAAAAGGGTTGATTATTAGATTTCGTCAACAGTCAAATCATTTTTCATTTCATGTCGACAGCCGAGAAACCGATTTTCAGTGGTCTTTGGGGTCGATATGGATGACTTTGGGAATCCCAGCTTTAGATATGATTGTGGCGCTGCAGGACTGATGTTAGCCTAGCAGCACTCAGACTTTTATCTCTGAACTACTGTACCCATTTCATAACTGACTTGATCACAGAACAATAATACTCTACGAGAAGAATGCCAACTTCATAGAAAAATATTATCCATAGAAACTAGATCCACCTATAGTAAGCCCTCCAAAACAAGTAGTATGGCGGGAAGTTTAAATACTTACTTTTATACTTGGGTTTCATATTAACAACCAAATTACTAAAAGCAATGTTGTCTGTGAATATTTTTTGTATATGAAATCCATTACATAAACAAATTCCATAAACAAAAAACATCCACAGGGAACACAGGTTTAAGTAATTTGGTAGTTAATCTAGGTGAAATATAGGGACTACTTCAAAAAGGAAATATAATACAAGCAGATAATAATAACACACTCTATTTTATTGTGATTTTAACATACCGCTTTGTTACACAAATTAAGTGAATTTTCAACATACTGTTTGGTTTTTAACTTTAATTCAACATTGATTTACAAGCCTTCAGAATTATTTTAATGTGTGCACCAAATTATCAAGAAAATGATTTTGACACAGCATTCTATGTTCAGTGTACAATTTCATTTGAAATTCTGTTGATGAATTCCGTCCTTTGTGGAAAATATATTTAGCCCACGATTGTTATATCCTTATAGTACAAGAGATAGAGTTACATTTTCCTAAGAATTTTATAACAAACTAATTTAATTTATAGTTCGTAATCGATAAACATCCTTAATCACCTTCACCTACATCATCACTTTTATCAGAAATAACATAAAATTCTTTCATACAGATTAGCATCACATACCTAATACTGAAGCTCTTTGACTCAAGTCATATTTTTTACAAATAAATACAAGTATTTATGTCAATTCTAACTCTACTGCAAATAAAAGAACTAACACTAGCATTACATAATGGGAATATTCTCTTGTTAAAATGTAGCGGAACTTCACGTACTATTCATTAGTTTTGAAATCTATAAATAGAAGATTAAAGCAAGTACCGTATAAGATTCCTTTTAGCCGGCTTCGGAAAACGAAAGAGCTTTACATTATGCTGGGTTGGCGAACGTCCACACTTAAAACATTTTCTTCTGTTTTCTTTATCAGCCATATTTTCAATAACCACAACAACAGAAAAGTGTCACTATCTCAAATTTCACAAATAACTATGAATCCACTTTCTAAGCACATTAAAAGGAGGAACAAAAGCTCATCTCGACGTTATAATGATAAGAAAATGCAGGAAATAAGAAATTGTGATGGAATCGCATGGAACGCGTGGGAACAACAACAAAACAAATTGCCATTATCGACACCAAATCAGTTACAAAAAATAACTACTACTACTAATTTTAACAATGATGCCTTCCAATTAATAAAATTAAAATGATTGCAACTCAAAAAAAAAAAATAAAAGTCAACTGTATTATTTACTTGACTTAAAATGTATTTCTGAATATTAAAAACTTGGATAAATAGAATTTTTGGTAAAAGACAACTATCAAACTACTAAAATGCGTGAAAGTAATAACATGAGGCAGCACTGCAGATTCATTTCATTGCCATACTATTAAATCTTAGTTGCTAGTTAAAAATATGGTATTATGAAAGATTATTTGGGTCTTTCATCATAAAATTTTGCCCCTCTAGGTATAATTTTACACTTGTATGAAGTTACTACCGCCTGGACTTGATAGCTCAAAAAGTAATTTCAAATGCAAGAGGATAACGCTGGCAGACTAACACGCAGTTTCGTTTCAAGGTAAAAATTAATAGAGTAAAAAACTTTTCTTTGGTAAATACTTTAATTGGAATGTCACTATAATAAATGTACATACAAAACATGTAAGGGAAATTATCGAAATTGTGAAAATACTAATAATTTCAAATCCAAATATATGGCGGTTAAGTTACATAACTTTGGCTACTTATCATAAAATCAACTATCTATACGTGGAAGCTGCTTCAGACCTCGATCATGAAAATAACAAATAGGTTGGTTATAAATTAAACATATTTACATTTCTTTCCAATTATCACTATCACCTCTTAAATTGCTTGCTTCAGTATCTTTGAATCAACAGTGATTCAGCAAAGACACATTTACTCAGAGAGAATCAATCTAGATATTGGACTTATTAATTTAACAATTGGCAAATTTAAAATCTACCGCAATCCCATTCAATTTGACATTTGAAAGATATTCACGAATTTCACGCTACAAGTATTTGACGTGTGATTATGATCACGTCATTTTTTTAAAGATATTAAATGAATGACATCGTTAAATGAAACTATTGAGAAATCGAAACGAAAAGGTTGTATGTTAACTGCAAACTTTCTTTGACGAGTTTAGCTTAGTTATAATGTTTCTTGATCATCCAATTCAACATTCGATCCGAAAGCAATCGTGAGTGATTGCAATAGATTTTAGAAGGCTTGACAAATTATTTAAGGGTTATTTGTTTATCATGATAAAGTCTGATTTAGCCATAACGCCGAAAGATCTGCTACCATTTTTCATATGTTATATCATCTTCCAAAAATCTATGAATACACGGTAGCAAATCACTTTTATATAGATTTAGTTACACTAACATAAATGGTGGGAGATTTAAAAAAGTATAAATTGTTATAGACATTAATATAAAATACATATCATACAAAAACAATTAGGCATTTAATCAATACAGCAGCAAATATCATAATTTATGTTCAAAATAAGAACTACTAATATGAAAGTATAGTCCTTGTATATAGGCCATAAAACAATATTATGAGCAGTCACTTTTTCTTATAATGAAACTACAGTCAAAAGATGCATGAACGATCGGATAGTGAATAGGTATAAAAAAAAAAGACTAGACATTTTTTCAGATGTGCCTGATCTATTTCCTGTTTTTCTGATACCTGGGTCCTTTCAAGAACTAGTCCACGCCTATTGAATTGCAGTTTTTTATTCTGTACCAACTTTTTTTTTAGAGTACAGTCAATATCACGCTAGACTATATTGTCAAATTTATCTATTTGATTTTAAACCTTAATGCTTTGTGTGTAGATATCAAAATCAATTGAGAAAATTTAACATTTTGTGGTAGCCTGACGTGCAGCCGCATGTAGAACAAGTCATTGGTCATAAACAGTTGGTACATGTAACGCAAGTTCTGCAGTATCTTGAACGTCTCAAGAAAGGGTCTTTTTTTCAACGCCGAAAATCAGTTTGAAATCGATCGAGTTTTTGACCTCAAAGATTCGATATCGACCATTTTCGGAATCCTGCTCTAAATATATTGTATTCAGTCAGGGACTACAATATTGTTATTAGGATTTCGGTTGTTTCGCTATAGTTTTACACTGCCCATACGAGATGACTGTTACTACAATTTATGGATTTATTGATTGCGGATTAGTATTGGCTACTGAACATTTAAGTGTTTGTTTATGAACATGATTTATTGACGAAGGTCGTATTTGCGGGGGCAATTCCTTTATAATGTCCGCTAAGTGTCCGTATTTGTGTAGATTTTCATATTGACTTCAATATGCGTAGCTATTGTGGCCAGACTATATTAAATGATCAGTGGGCTAACTATCTAACATAAAATCTATTACAATCCCTTTCAAAATCACATTCGTAAAATATTCACAAACTTCACGCCACAACTATTTGACATGTTGTTACATGTCGAATGCGAATGAGACGTTTTTTTTGTAAGATAAATCGTTAATTTAACATAATTTATAATTATATAATTTATATAAAATAGTGTAATGTTTATATGTATGGACTAAATCAAGTATTAGACAGAAATATCTTTGTAAGTTATTGAAAATTGTCAAACGCAATGCTTTCTGCAATCTTTCGCCCGATTTTGGCTAAGTTTTTATTATGTTTGTTGATAATTGAAATCATCATTCGTTCTGAAAACAAATGGCGACATTTCATAATACTTTAAATGTTATAAGTACCTTTGAACGGGATGGCAATAGATTTTGAAATTAGACAGCCCACTGGCCAGCGAGTGTGATATGGATAAATGGTGAACTCACTCTTAAAACGTATACAGTAGAAACCTAAATTTGTAAATATTTTTGTGACTTCGTAACAATTTGTATACAAGGCACACTAACACATTGCTTATGAATATTGGAAGTTCACAACATTTTCTATATAATTATTATGTAAAAATATTTTTCTACAAATTATATTATGTGTAAAAAAATTGATTATTTCAGTGATATACGTACAATAATGAGCTTTTAAACAAACTATAACGATAATAAATTTAAATTAAAATCTGTTATGCATATATATTATTAACTTAACTATATGTAATTGACATTGATGAACCATACTGTGCCTACATGGTATGGTTATCCCAAAAGCAAAAATAATGTAAGTCGTATGCACATAACGAGTATTATGTTTGTGAAGTATATCGAAATGTCCCTTACATTCGCTAAAATTATTATCTAACCATTCTAAACTAATAAAGCTTTCATTTTACGATGATTAACTAAGGTGAGACTCGTATCTGTATTAAGACAGTCGGCCACGTTACTTTTGGTGTACTCGAAAATAATCTAATATCATAGTTTGAAAAGCTAAGAATGATAATTTTCAATAAATATACTTCAATGGAATCGATATACACGAGTACAATTTGTGCTAGTATCTGTGTTAACTTACTGAATTAATATTTGGCAGGTTTCAATTCTGAATAAGACTAAATTTACATCTAGAAAACTTACGTGTATGTCATATTGTTTAATTCACAATCCTCGAAAACTTTACACAGTCAAATGTGTCGTCAATCTTTAACACGTAATAAATAAAGCAAACAATATATAATTAATTATAGAATAGACAACACATTTGATTGTGGTGAATAGCATAACCTAATTGGTGTTCACCTTACATTTCATATTACTTAACCTTTATGTTCCTGAGTTCCTAACGATTTCTTATATAAAAGAATAATTTATAATGGGATTCATTTAACTTTACGTAAAATATAATACGTATCATATACGGCCGTAATAATAAGTGTTACAAAAGTAAAAAAAGTTAGTCATTGCTTTGTTTATAATACATAAATGAAAACAAAATTGTCATATTACAGATTCTTAAAAATAATCCAATTATAGAGACGAATAATATTATACATTCCAACATAGAATAGTACATTCGATAACTGCAAAAGTTAATTTCCAAATCGATTTGAAACTTGTTTTCAACACATTAATTAAGGTGTAAAATTACAGTTTAAATAACCTGATGTGCTTATTATATATTATAAAAAATATGATAATTGTAAGCAATATATCTTTCATATTTAACTCTCGGCCAATTTGTGTTGTTAATTGTTAAATAAACTAAAGGCCTTAGTTATTGCAAAGAAATTTTAGTTCAGATTTAAAAATAGTTAAATGTCTGAGTATAATATTTTAAGAAGGCCTTTCGTTCTTAAAATATTATACTCAGACATTTAACTATTTTTAAATCTGAACTAAAATTTCTTTGCAATAACTACAGAAATCCTTTAGTTGTAATTGTAAAATATTAATCTCGACAAAATGTTTCATTTTTGTTTGTTGTTTTTAATAATCTATTAAATGCACTCTAGCGGAATCTCTACAATTCTACAATTTTAAAATGCCGTTGTAATTAAGACTTGTATAGAAAGTTAGAAATCACCATTGACAAAATAAAATATCATAAAAAACACGTACCTACAACATCTCTAGATCCCGTAAACTTGCTAATGCTAAATACTTGTTAGTCAATAATTATTTATAACAGGTTAATAACTAATGTATGTAATGTAATATTTGGCTTTAGTGTGAGCATAAATTGTTACATAAACATATTGTATAATATTATAAATACATACGTAGAAACTGTTCAATAATTATTGTAATAAAAAAAAAATATATTATTTTGGACTCTGGCGCAACAGTGCATTTAAAGATTCTTAAAAAATGTATATTCAATAAAAGTATGAGTATAACCATTAAAAACACAACTGATATTCAAATTCAACAATATTTTTCATCAATTTCATACATTTAATTGTTATAATTATTTAATGAAAAAGAGATAACAAGTAA